GATTCTTCTTTTATTTACTGAGAAAACTCATGTTTTCCGATGGGCGGCCAAGGGCTGTTATACTACATGGCCGGCCAGCGCTATCTGTCGCGGCATTTGTCCGTTGCGCACAGTGGATGTATTCGTTTTTTGAGCGGCGGCGCTTGTTGATAGAGGCTGTAATGACGACTGCTAGAGTGCGCCACCTAAATGGGCACTCCGTTTTGTCTCATTACAAAAGAAGCAAACTCCACTCTTGTTAACTTTAAATACTTTTAGAACTACCTAATTAACTTTTTGTTCTACATTTAATTTTAAGCCGACATATTTATTTAGCAGTAAAAATAAAAGTTTAAAATATAAATACATTTTTTTTAATGAATAATTATGTAAAATAAAGGCAAATATTGTTATGGGTGTCTTGCGTAAAAAAAATCAATTTGTATCTATATTTTATTTGCCCTGGCTCACCCTATAATATATTTACTATAATTTATAATACGTACTCCCATAATATTATGTATACATAAGCTACGAGTAGGGGGCAAGAGCTAAATTATTTAAATTTCGTACTGCACATTTAACATGTGAAGTACAGAGCGGTGGACGGAGTGCGTAACCTTTTTATTACATTTTTTGGTAAAAAATATGTGTTTCGGTAATATTGTAAATTATAAGTACCAACAGTATTATTGTATTGTTCGTTTCCGAATCGTTACTGAAAGTTTTTAAGGAGTTCAATATAGGCAATTTTCTATGAGCGTGTGCATACGGATCGTCTAAATGTGTGTGTGTGTGAGAGTGTGTGAAAGTTAGAGCATGTGGAGTATATGCATTGTTAGATTGTGTGTAAAAGAAACAGTGGAATGTTCCCGCACGTGCACAAAAGTATCAAAAACCCACTATGCAGACTCTTTGATCAAGATATCAGTCCTTTAGGTATCATTAGTATTAACTAACGTATTTATTCGATTTAATGCCTGAAAACATTTACATTTACATTTTTTAAATTATTTTTTTTGACTTCAATATTATTAATTAATAATTTAAGATTCTTAATATTCAAAATTTAAAAAACTTATTTTAAAAGACTAATGAGTTGAATTTTTAAAAAAAAAAATGGAAAAATAATTTTCGAGAAAACGTTATGACGATTTCAAACAATGTTTTCAGAAGTTTTATCTGATGACTAGGATAGACGGTACAGTTAGCATAAGATAAGTATTGTTTGGTATAAAACACAGACAGAATCGAATCTCATTTAACAATAAAGTAAAAAATACAGTAAAAATGTAAAAGTCAAAACTGTAGAATTTAAAACTTATAATTTCATTGTTAAATATAGCAATGCAATGCATAACATCTATCTAACTATTATGATTATTTCAAAGAGTTAATTCTAAAAATATTTGACACTTAATAGATAAACTTCCTGTAGTGAAACGATTTACTTTTCACTTGTTCCATAACTTCATCAGCATATATCCTATTGATTATTTGTTTGGTCGGAACCATAAGCACAAAATCTTTTAACAATACGTTTAACCATTGAATTTCAAGTGAGTTAAAATTTAGTTTATAAGAGTATTATCAATATTAAAAGAGCTTTTAAAATTTAAAATTAGTTTTCGCATGCCATCCAGTCTTAAAATAAATATAAGAAATGGTAATGATAGTTTAGAGTATTACCTATACCTGAGTTAAAGGGAGCATAAGAAAATACTTTTATGTAAATATTTGTTAGCTGTTGGTATACTTCACTTTAAACTTTAAAGCTTAAACTGAATTCTTTTTTTTTATTTAATTAGCTTTTAGTTAGTAACTATGATAGCTCTACAGTTATTCAATTACACAATAAATTATACATATTATATAGAAAGCTTTATGACAAATATAGAAAAAGAAAAAAAGAAACAATGTTTAGTGATATAAGACAGTTAAAGATGTATAAAATATTTAGTAACTATGCTCTTTAAATAGATCAATAGAGTAAATATATAATTGTTGGTTAATTTGGTTGATTTGAAAGTAGGTATACAATATCTTGGCTGTATTTATAAAATGTGATTTTACAAAACAAAATTGACCGTCATAAAACATAGATCAAGTGGCCCTCTTAAAGACTCCGAAATGTTCCCGATTTGCTAATCTGACCCTGAACTTAGAATTTTCAATTTAATATTTTCAGCTTTGTTCAATGAAACTTCTCTTCAATATCCGGAACTATCTACCGATATTAATCGTCTGTTACCTATTTTATTGATGTACAAACACGTGTCAATGCCTAAACATTTGGATGAAATTAGCAATCGAGTCATGAAAATGTATTTTCCATCGGGAAATATTGATGACTACTCTCATTTGGATACTGTCAAGGTACTATTATATTATATATAATTTTAGAAATAAATCAGTTTTACATACATTGAAATATATTATTTAAAATTCAAATAATTAATTATAGTTGATCGGAGACGGAACTTTTATTCAGTGTTCTCTGGACATGAGCATTCAATTATCTTCACCTGTCCATTTTTATTTATTTGATTATGAAAATGAGTTTTCATTCAACCAAGTGTATGGCGATTGTAAAAAAAATCTTGGAGTAAGTCACGCTGATGAATTAATTAGCTTGTTTCCATTGAAGGAATTGAATCCCAAAGGATTAAACGACAAAGATATAAAAATGTCGAAGCTTATGGTTAATATTTGGGTCAAGTTTGCATCATCTAAGTGAGTATGATGTATATTAATATAAGTTATAATACAAGACAGTTATATAAGTTATTTAAAAGTCATCAACAATTTCAACTTTCGAATAAGATAAAATAAGCTGTATTCATTACCTATAGCTGTGTAGGTGTTAAAATTAAAAAAAAAAATTACCATGACAAAATGATTTGTTTTAGAATACCTACTGTTGATGGAACGGACAATGGACAAGCCTGGCCTGTATTTACTTCTATTGAAGAATCAGCATTACTGCACATAGATTCAGTCCAACCAAAACTTGTACAAAATCCGTTGGTGGAGAAGTATACATTTTGGAGTAAACTTCCATTATTATCTGGCTTAAATAAATTTATGTCACCAAAAACTTCACACATAAAAAACGAACTGTAGGTAGTGTTATTATGATTTTTAATTATAGACTTATTTTTAAAACTTTTACTCACCAAATATTAGGTGATACCTTTATTTGTATATTTAAAATTATATTATATGGTGTTGCTTAAAATATTTATCGCTATGTATTTAATACTCGATACGACAATAATGAATAATGTCACAGTTATTTTTCTTGTATTATAGGCCCGGTTTATTTGTATAATGATTTTGAAATGTCTTAGAATTTACAACAATTTATTTTTAGCCTTTTTTAAAAAAGATATTTTTATTTTTTTGTATTATAAATTATTATACTGTGTATGATTGTAATACAATTTTAATATTTCACTGCTAAGACTTAAATGTAAACTTCTTAAAACTTAAGCGTGGAGAGAGATAGAGAGGGAGAAAAATTGAGAGAGAGAGAGAGAGAGAGAGAGAGAGAGAGAGTGAGTGAGAGAGAGAGTGAGAGAGTACATTATGCTATAAGATACGTATAAATGTTATAACATTATTTTGTGTAGATGAGATGTTGAGGTACCTGCAGTAGTTTAGTTTTAAATATATTGTATATTATTATTTTATTGTATAAAAAAAATAAAAAAAAATAATAAAAAAAAAAAACAAGTTCATAAAATTTACCAAAAATGTCTAAATAATTTTGTAGTGAAAAATGTATACACTTGGAAAATAAGTAAGTAATTATGTTCTATATTAATATACAATATGGTACTTAAATAACATTAGATTCGTTTTATATTATTGCCTTACAGACCGTCTTCACCAAGAATCGTATATTAAGGCTCTGATTTATATGAAAATACATATTTTCAATATGATATGACAAACTAATCTCGGCAATTGACAAATTTGTTTCAGAAGCTTTTTGATAAAAAATTTGATTTGACATATTTTATTATAAACACGTTTTTACATATTTCACAATTTTTCTCACTTATTTTCCTCAGAGTTCAGAGTAATTGAAAGCTTATCATAAGTAAGCCAATACTTAATAGTTTACGAAATGTATAGTATAATATTTTCGGTCCAGCGGTGTCGGTCGGACGTATTTTTGACCTGGCTATGCTTATAAATGTGGCTTCCTTATAAATTATGTCGACTCCTTTGATTTGGACAATTTTGGTACGGATGTGTTTCTGAATACTAATATCTAATTGATATTTATCTTATTCGTGACCTGGTCAACAGTTCCTTGTTTACAATTAGATAGGATTACAATTTATGAATTGTGTGTGGTTAAGGCTATTGTTCATTCAGTAATGTATTCTATTATTCGTCAGGATTGACTGTACTAATTCCTAGAATAATTATGTAGTATATTATAGTAAATAGTAACATATTTTATTATTCGATACGATCCCATGAATGAATTCTTTCAGTTTATTGCTTGCGACAGTATATACAAAAACGATTCTGAGTGGAGAAGGCGCGCTGTGTGTCATCCTAGCATACCTACGTGAATAAATAACCAACTTTAATAATTAAGGAGAATATAAAATAGCTCATGGCTATAAATAGCATTACTTTTTGGTAAATTGTTTTTCATTAAAGCTAAAAAACTTATGAGGATCTTTTATTACATTTTTGGGATTTTGATGAATTTTGTCAAAATGTCAACTTTAAATGTATGTAATTGATGGCAGCAGAGGAGTAGTAGTGTTCAAACAGATCCTCTTCTGCTGTCGGTTTAAACGGGGAAAAAAATGTATGTAATTGTGTTTATGTATTTTTAACAATATTGAGATGACGGACTAAATATTAAGTATTAAATATAAAATCACGGCATACACAAGATGCACATCTCCTGATCACTAGTCTTACAATGTAACTGGCTCCCTTTTATCTGAAGACTTTTAATGATCTTGGTTCCAAATTTACCGAGTGTCTCAATTCTAGCCTACTTTTTCCAGCTATATTATGCTGTAATTAATTAAAATTGTTAGCTTTTTTGTTGATTCAACTTTTAGAATACGTAAACTCCTTGCAAGTGCGTAACTGTTATATTATAATTTGTAACAAAATAAATAGAGTTTTTACCACTATAATAAATTTGTTGTTACATTTGATTAATATGTACAGCGCACGGAATTATATCTTACTATGGCTATATATTTCTTAGAGTGGTAAAGTCAATATAAATTAATTTAAATCAAAAGACTTCCTAAAGGCCAAATTGAACTAATATTTTTTTTTATAAATTTAAATAATTGTAAAAAAATTCATAAAAAAATCTTAAAACTGTATTATTATTGAAGACATTGAAAAACAGAGTTAAATGTGGAACGTAGAATATGACCTTCTATAATAAGTTGAAAAAAAAATGATCAAATTTGGTTGATTTTATAGAACAGGATCATTATTGGACATTGGACAATATTACATTGACGCATGGTGCCTTAATGTATTAATTAATTATTTCAACATAATTTATAGAATTTAGAATATTAAAATTCTATAAGGAGTTGATATTTAATATAATATTTAATATTGAGTGGAGAAATGTGTAAGTCTCGGAGGCTGTTCGTTTTCGGCTATCCAAACTTCTCCATTTTTGCCGTTTTTCATAATGTGAAGAAATGCAGCTTTATAATAATCAGTGCTGTAACACAAATTGTATAAGTTTTTTTTATAGTAAGAATCTACTACGTTTAACACTAACTTAATGTAATCAGATGCATTACCTCTGTATTATTAGAATTCTATTTGGATTTGGGATTTCTTCACCACTCGTAATCAAGTCCTCAATTTCTTGCTGTAAGGCATTTTTCCCTTCAATGTTATTTTCAAATCCGTCAAACGTGGCGCCAGGACAAATGGCCATGACTCTAACGTTATTTCCGGTCGCTTTCGAATTGAACGGACACTTGTAACACATAACAATTGAATAGGAGAAAATTAAAAAGAAAAACAATAGATCCTATGCGCATAAGTCTTTACCATAGACCACAGTTATCTAACTGATAGTATCAACTCGAGTGTAACCGTGGTCTAACATAAAAATATCTAATATGTGTACATATTCCTGTCGTCGAAATAGCCTATAACCTATATTCGATATAGTATTTCTATGCACTCACTCCAATAGATTTTGTGAATTCGATAACAGCTCTTTTGGTCGATTGGTAAATGGGCAAGACAGTGTTGGATAGTCCAACTATCGATGCTACATTAATGACTGCAGACTTTTTGTCTTCATTGTTTTCAATGTATTTGAGACCTAACATGGTACCTCGAACTACTGCTTTCTATAATGCGATGGTACAAAAACATTTAATTAATATTTATAATAGATACTTTTGAATATAATAACAAAATATTAGAATTGTTCCTGCTATGTTTCTCGATTATCCTCATTAATAATATAACTGTTTATTAAACTAAATTAAAAAGCTCATGGCAATAAAAAAAATATTTCTGGTGTACGATTTATGTATACATAACTTTTTACTTGGCTACTTACGTAATTTAAATCGATAGCTAGCTCCCAAGAAGTCATATACTTGGTCATGATACCAGCATTATTAACAACAATGTTTATTTTCCCAAATTGCTCAATAGTTTTCTTAAAAGAATCTAAAAAAATGTATATAAAAAAAATTTTAAATGTGAAAATGTTCTGAATTTTGTATAAATTGTAATTTGTTAAGTTCAAACTACATACCCAATTTATAGATATGATTATTTACCTTCGAATTCGATTTCATTGGTAACATCACACTTTATGAATATTAATCTACTTTTTGAAGATAATTTGTATTTGATTTCTAATTCACTGATCGCATTATTTCTTATTTCTTTGTTGATATCTATTAACGAAACCTTTAAAAAAAATAGTGATAAATGTTTCGTGTAAAAAGATATATTTGAATAATCATGATATTTATACACTTGGTGATAATAAGTTTAAAACGATTATCTGTGATGAAGGATTGAAAAGTGATAAAACCGGACCCCATTCATTATAAAAAAAATCAAATTAGTATTTTAAGGATACCATAATTTTTCTAGACACGTATTTTCCATACTGCACGAAGTGTAATATATTGCAGGCACCGAGTGCCACCGTGATGACATTTGTCTTACTTCGTTCATCACTATATAATTTATTGAAGAATTCGAGTGTAATGATAATAATTGTATTGCTTATACATTTTTAAAAAATGTTCTGATTGATTCCTAGATTACCTTAGTAATCGTAGTTCTTTTGTTGAGGTCCGTTATATTAGCACCACCATATATGACTGTCAAAAAAAAATTCATTTGTAATCCTAATACAAGCATTTGTACCTCACCCCCCACTAAAAAAAAAAAAAAAATTTTGCACTGAACGATATTCATTACACATTGATGTCCTGAGTTTAAAGTAGAATATATTTTCTCACTATGGATTATTTAATTTAACTTAATTTTTTTTTAAATATTTGACCATATGCCTCCTGAAAATATGGTTTAATGAGTGACGGGTCGTCACGAGCCCTTAACCCCCTCTTCGTCCGGGAACCAAATCATGTTGAAACGTTTACAGTATAGTTTAAACCGATTTACCCTAATTCGAATTAATGATCTCAATCGATTGCTGTATAGTGTAATTCGTTATTTGCATGCATAATGTACTCCCGTAGTTATTTCTAATGCGCATTTTAAATTTGAACTAAATATACCGTCTTAGGTAAACCGAATTGATATTAAACTAAATTAACAGCCGTTTACATGCGATTTACTCCAGGAGTTAACAGTACTAAATTAAAATCCATTTAGAAGCTTTTAAATCGTATCTAAGACGTAACATCGTTTTCGACTGCAAAACAAAATATGTGGGTTATTACTAATAACATAAACCAAATATGATTTAATTTTAATTTCATTAAGATATGTTTAGGGAGCCCCTAGATGACCATCTCAGTATCACTTCATTCGCGCAAGGATGTAGTCAGAATGTTATTTTTCAGGGAGGGGGGGGGGGTCAATAAAAACAATTTTAATTTTAAATTGTTTTTTTTATTTAAACGAAAATAAACTTGGTAATTATATGATATAGATTATGTAATAATATGAATGATAAAAAAAAATATTTAAAAAATGTAGGTTGGTATAAGGACAAATTATTGTATTATATAATAATTAATAAAATATAATTCGTATGAAAAACTGTATGTTTAATAAACATTTATGTAGTTACTTAAAAAACAATCGTATACAACAAATAAAATAAAAATTAACGCAGCTAGGTACATGTTTGTATGAAAATAGATTATAATCGATTAACGTCATTAGTCTGAAGTTATAGTACAGTTTTGTAGTATAATAGTAAATAACTATTTTGCTTCCATCGGATACACGGTATGAGAAATAAATTTAAAATTTACGATCTAGTTAAGTTGATAACAGACAATAATGATTATTAAATTAGGTAGGTACCTATAGCTGTATTATAGGAACTGATAAATACTGTGTCATTTGTTATCTATGCGAACCCGATTCATTATGTTTTCGTAGCCCGTAGGTGCACTGAAGTTTCATCTGTAGTTTGATTCTTATTTATGTGCTTGCCATTAACTAACCATATCATTTGGTATTTTTCAATGATTGTTAGGTTTATAAATATAAAAAAATTAGGTTTCACTGAACCATCTTTGGGGGGTTGGGTTCGGACCCTGTGGACCCCGCCTGGATACGTTGTTCCCTGGCTCCACGCAGATAGTTTGAGAACCTCTGTTATATAGTGTTTACGACATTCTACATTGAATACCAATTGACACAGTAAATATTTATTTGTAGAACATCATCGCACCGATTAATTTTGTTTCGTCTAAAATAGTAAAAAATCAAGTTTCCTTGAGAACCTCTTTCTTTGGTGGCTTGTTCATAAATAACTTCATAAATATTTATATAATTATATCCATCGTTATTTTTTGAATAAATTGAACCCAAATAATTAAATAGTTAACACTAGTACACCACAATTCATAAGTTCCAAAAACTGATTAAGAGTAGGCACTAAGTTTAAATTAAAATACATATATGAAGAGAATGTTACTACATTTTTTTCTCTGGCCCACTCGCAACATACCGTATTTTACGTTCACTATAATGATTATAATCATAATCATTTTTAAAATTGAAGTGAAATGACCTCTTATAAAATGTAAAGGGAAGATTACTGTCTAGTGCATCTTATAAGATTCTTATTATATTTTAATTTTAAACGAGTTATGAGTAATTTAAGATGTACAAACAATTTACAATTATACTTATAATATTTTAAAATTGTAAATTGTTTGTACATCTTAAATTACTCATAATTCGCTTTAAAATTAAAATATAATAAAAAGCCTATGAGATGCCATAGATAATAATCTTAACTTTACAGGTCACTCTGCATTTAGCAGAATCGACTTTGTGATGTTGTTTTTAGTGTCAGAGTTAATTGACCTGTTATCAAACTTTAAGTTCATACGTTGGGTTTTTACAAAATTTTAATTTTTTGAATGCAAGTATGAGCGTTGAAATTGTAGGTAACATTTATTCATAGTCATAACTTTCGTAAAAAATCCAACGTAAGAACACAGATAATGTTTAAATGTTCGTAAATTTAAGTTTTATTACTGGTCAGTTCACTCTAATAGCCTAATACTAAAGTTAACATCACAAGGTCGGTTCTGCTGAATTCAAATTTACTATGTTCCACGTGGTCCAGAGAGAAAAAAAAATATTGGTGAGCTGATAATATTATTATTATTTTTTTATATTATAATTATTTCTTATTTATGTATGTAGTTATAATAACAATTTTAATAGCGTTGTTTTATGATTTAGGTTAACGAATACGCAATTGTTGATAACTTTGTATAAACATAATATTAGGTACAATATTACATCATTTATGTGAACCGTACTATATAGGGACTTAAAATTCGTGGGGGAAAAAATATCAAACCGTCTTCAAAACATAACAATTTACCATAGTGGGGTCATTTTAGTTTTCAATAGAGAGGGGGAAACGTTTATACTAGCCCATATAGGCAACCTATTTTCGACTTACTGTCTCATTTATATCATTACAATTCCCATCTTACGCATCATTTGGTATAAAATGTATATTATCATACATAAAAATAGCCTAATTTATTATGATAGTAAAAATAATTATTCATTTCTTATTATTACTATTCATTTATTTAATTAAACTTTAATCGGGTGATTAATAAATTAAATCTTTATTGTTGTTATTATCCATTTATTTGATTAAACTTTTATTAGGTAATTAATTAATTAAACAAATATTATTGTTGTTATTTATTTATTTGATTAAATTTGAATTAGATAGTTCATTAATTAAATAAGGATGTATTAATGCAATCATCTTCATTTTTTTTTAACCTCACCTTATAAATAAGAACTGTTGTCTCCTCCACAAGCATAGGCTTTTGGAGACAATCATTAATAAATTTATTTGTATTATGTATTCATTATAAATGCAATAAATTGTGTTGGAAAAGTATATGGGAAGCTAAAAACTGATATATACCTATAGATACTTCAGTGTCGTCGTCTTAGATTTTTTAATAGAGGAGATGTAGATCAAATTAAATTACTACAATTACAATACAAGACGCCACTGCTAAAATATACGCAGGTATATGCGAAATGTTTGACTTTGTGTATTTCAAACATAAAATACAAAATACTTTTTAATTTTTAGCTTGTTAGGAAATTTTTGTTTTAAAAAAAATATATAAAAATTAAAACACATACATTATATCCTTCAAAAATAACTGTGTACATATAATATATTAATCATTATAACCTTATAATTTTGAAAGTCAAATATGATATTAATTACAAATTTCAAAAATACTATTCTTTTTAAAAATATAAGTGTTTCAAAAACTGCATCACTCATCCTAGCTCGATTTCGACATTAAGTCATTCCTACGGATGAAAATAACTGGCTCTGATAAACATATTTGTATTCTACTTTATAAGCAATTGACGAATTTTAGGCCAGTTTTCTAGACAAGAAATATTCTCATATATATCGGTTAAGATTGTTGATCTAACTTATTAGTCATCACCGCAGAAATAGAATCAAAAGCCTATATTGCTGATCTATGAAGCGGCTAGTTCGGTTTGCCACGTGGGATATAATACTATTTAGATAAGAAGTAAGCTAACACTACTTAAATAATCTTGATTATACGTATTCACGTTTACGCAATGCTTGAATTGGGAACAAATTTGAAGACTGATGTAACAGTTTAAAGAAGATGTGTGCACCTGAATATTTAAATATTTAATTGGTTGAAAAGTAATTAAAGGGCAAGGGTCCCCACACGCACCACCCTCAATTCAAGCACTGTACCAGTTGCCCCCAAAAGTACCTTTTTTATACCAAATCCCCCCAAACTACCTAGAGGAAAAAGTACCAGTTGCCCTCACATGTATACACAAATACAATAAATAGCTCGTAAAATAGGGGAGGTAAATATACAAATCATAAATAAAATATAAAATTCAAAATTATAATAATTTGTTAATATGAAATAGTACAAAATTAAAATATAAAATTACATGTTATGTTGAAAAATTATTATAATTTTGAATTTTATATTTTATTTATGATTTGTATATTTACCTCCCCTATTTTACGAGCTATATATTGTATTGTGTATGTATTAACATGTGAGGGCAACTGGTACATTCAATTGGGGGCAACTGGTATATTTTTTAAAATCGCGATAATAGCCGTGGGGGGCAACTGGTAAACACCCCGTTTAAGGTATAGGTATAGGTATAAGTATAAGTATAGGTATAGGTATATGTATAGGTATAGGTACAGGTATAGGTTTAGGTATAGGTATAGCCGTATAGGTATACCCACAATAAACTATAGGGACCCAGGGAGAAGCAATAGCAACACCAGTTCCTCCCCCGGTTCTCGATAATAAGGGGGAAAAAAGGTATAAGTATACCTACAGGCCACATAGTATAGACGTACTGTATAATATATTATACTATTATGTATAACAAAAGTAAAGCTCGTAGCAATTATTTCGCGACTGGGCCAAAGTGCAAACGAGAGAATTATATTGTTTGTTATTATTTTTTTTGTATTTTGAATACTTTCAAAATACAAAATGCTTTAAAAAATGTATTTCAAGTACATTTAATTGAAATACTACCCATCCCTGAGTATATGTAGGTGACCTATTGAGAACTTACTGAAAAAGTGAAAAATAATTATTATCGGAGGTTTCTTAGTAAATTAAGGATAAATGAAAGAGGACTCTACTTGATAAATACTAACTTGATGGCAAGAACCTAATATGTGTTTAAATATGTTTTTTTTTATGATATTCAGTTTTTAAGTGAGTTGAGTAGGTATTTTTAATCTACGCTATATTTTATGCACACAACTATAAATAACTATATAACGATAATGTTCATCATAATGTTGCAACATTAAGTTTTATAACAGGTCGATTCACTCTAATTTTTAAACTTACCACGCTAAACATGATCTGCTGAGGGTACATTTACTTTGTTACGCACATGTAAGACGGAGACAAATCCCCTTCTGTCGTCCTCTTAAGTGATGTATCCGTTTTACGAACGCATGATATCTATTTCAAAATGTTCGTCCAGAAGTTCCAATTTTGTGTTGTTAGCTTAAATATTAGAGTGAACTGACCTATTATCAAATTTGATGGTAATAATATCATTGTTATATAGTTATACATAGTTTTGTATACACAATGTGGAGTACATTTAATCATTTTTTTTTTTAATACTGTTTTTGATTAAAATTCTCAGTTTATCCTTAATTTCTTTAATTCAATGATAAATTTATATTCATTTTATACTATAAACATTTGGTAAAAATGTCAAGTGTCTTAGGCGATTATTCGTTTTTTCAGTTGCAACAAAATAACAAAACCCGCCGCTCAGAATCTAAAAAGTAGGACTAAAGGTACACCGTTATTATAATAATAAGTTATTACTTATTAGTTTGTTACTTACATATGCACCGTTTTTGAGCAGCTCGTCGACGATTGCGAGACCCATTCCTCGACCACCACCTGTTACCAGTGCTACAGTTCCGTGTAATTCACCGTTTGAACTTAGCGTGTTCATCGCTATATAGTTAGTGTCAAAATGCCAAACAACGACCAGTCGATTAAAAAAGTATTACACAAAATCTGATCTTGTAAACTCTAAGGTGCGTACAACACACCAGCGAACAAAAACAAACGAATGATCACGTACATCCGTGTGTGACCCATCAAGTAAGCAGTGTAGTCAACGTTCACGAGCATTCGGAAGTATTCGTCAGCTTTCGCCGAATAGGTCGAATAAACTCGTATGGCGAGCCGATCACTGCCGGTATAAATATTGTCTTCAATGCTCTGAATAGATTTATTTTAACACCTTTACTCTCTAGAGAACTCTATTGAAAAAAAATTATTTAATAAACCAAAAATATAGACTCGAAAATCACTCTTAAAAAAAAAAAATGTTGTATCAATTTATAGTGTTATAGTAATTGCTAATTAATAGGTAGGTAGATAAAATATTTACTATAAATTATTTAAAATAAGAATAGATATTATATTTGACCGTTGATATTTTGACACTTTTAAAAGTCAATACTCAAATTATTTTCTAGGCGTAATTCTTCCCTAATTCTTCTTTCACTCTATATTTTTACTATTAAACTTAAGCATGTTTTTAATGCGCGTTTTGTCTCTCACTCTCGACGGATGCAACTGTGGTTTTCGACTAAATCTTCATTATCATATTTGTATTTACTCTTGGGATTTAATCAATTTCAATCTACTCTTCATAAAAATCTAAATTGTCACAATAATATTGAATTAAAATTTAATAGTGTGATACTAACTAGGTGTATTATCTCAGTAAGTTGATCCCATTCGGCATTCATTATTATTATTATTAGAAATATACAATTTACTTATATAAACTAAATTATTTTTCTGCTAATTTTTATTATTTTTAACTTGTTGCATCACGTTCTAATGTTCCATACAAAATTATAAGATTATTCTTGATACAATTGTTAATATTTAAGGGTAAATTTTTCTACTTCAGACAAAAATTCGTCAAGGAAGACGTTTTGGGTGTATGAAATTTCTGAAACGGGGTGGGGATATAGTCACAATCAAATTTAGTTGAATCACGTTAATGTTTAATGTCACAATGTAGTGACTTAGCTTCTGTAGTTGTGCCTATATAATGGGAGGTGTTCAAACTCACTAGTTACATCAACTTTATTTTGTAAAATGAGTCCATAAAATTGTATTAGGAATTATTTTTATCAAAGAACTCTATGAACTAATTCAATAAATAGGATTTTATATCTCTATATAAAATCTACCTAGAACTGATTTTCTAGCTTAATTTAAAATTATAAAAGGTTCCATTTTTACACATAGATTATTAGTTTAATTTTAAACAAATTTAAATAATAATCTCAATTAAAATTAAATTACGTAGGTATTAAAAAAATGATATTTTTCCACTTTTTTACGTCAGTCCATATTGCTTATAAATTATAATCTTTAAAACTTGTTGATGGCTCAGAAATTGCTTATTTTAATTTCAATTTATTGAATTTAATGAGTCTAAAATGCTTATGAAAATTATCTATTAGACAAATTCTAGTTTAAAATATGGTTTTTAAGTTGAAAAAATGGACAAGTGAGTTCCCCTATGCTGTATAGTAGTTTTCAAGATTGCAATTATTAAATTTAAACTCAAAGATAGATTGGTATTGTTGTAAACGAGCTGTCAGCGATCCAGATGTTAGTAGTTTTTAATAAATGGCTAGGTATACATAATTTTAAGATAAACAATTGTCAACAGTGAACAAAATGATAGTTAATTTCTATTAATTTAACCAAATTTCTAAGTGTACAAGTCGTATTGATATCAGTGCCGTGAAAGTGATCAGGTGCGAACGGTGTTCGTTGTAATAGTACAACTCTCGCTCTGGTGTCCTCTAGCTAGGCTGGCTTCCTTATATATTATGTCGACTCCCTTGATTTGGACAATTTTGGTACGGATGTCTTTCTGAATACTAATATAGTGAGTAATATCTAATTGATATTTATCTTATTCGTGACCGGGTCAACAGTTCCTTGTTTACTATTAGATAGGATTACAATTTATAAATTGTGTGTGGTTAAGGTTATTGTTCATTCAGTAATGTATTCTATTATTCGCTATGATTGATTGTACTAATTCCTAGAATGAGTACGCGGTATATAGTAAATAGTAATATATTTTATTATTCGATACGATCCCATGAATGAATTCTTTCAGTTTATTGCTTGCGACAGTATATACAAAAACGATTCTGAGTGGAGAAGGCGCGCTGTGTGTCACCCTAGCATACCTACGTGAATAAATAACCAACTTTAATAATTAAGGAGAATATAAAATAGCTCATGGCTATAAATAGCATTACTTTTTGGTAAATTGTTTTTCATTAAAGCTAAAAAAACTTATGAGGGATCTTTTATTACATTTTTGGGATTTTGATGAATTTTGTCAAAATGTCAACTTTAAATGTATATAATTGTGTTTATGTATTTTTAACAATAACTGGCTCCCTTTTATCTTGAGACTATCAATGATCTTAATTTCAAATTTACTGAGTGTCTCAATTCTAACATACTTATTTCAGCCATATTATGTTGCAAAGAATTAAAATTGTTATCTTTTTTAATAACATTAATGTAAGACAAAGGATATCGTACAAGCCTCTATTGAACTCAAATTTTTTATTTTAATTCAAATAATCTTATAATATTTATTTTATGAATAAAATCTTAAAATTGTATTATTTTTGAAGACAAATTATAAAGTTTGAGATTAAAATATTAAAAAACGAAGTTCAAAGCAGCCTGTAGAATATTGTCTTCTATGAGTTAAAAAAAAAATAATCAAACTTGGTTGATTTTACTGAACTTATGATTAACATTCCCGTATAGACTTTATTTTTGTGGAAAAAATAACATTGACACCTGGAGCCTTAATGTTTCAATTAATTATTTTATCATGATCATTAGTAGGTGTTTGGAAAATTAAAATTCAATTAGGAGTAATAATTAGTATTGAGTGGAGAAATGTGTACGTCTCGGAGGCTCTTCATTTTCGGTTATCCAAACGTCTCCATTTTTGCCGTTTTTCATAACGTGAAGAAATGCAGCTTTATAGTAATCAGTGCTGTAATACAAATTTTCAAATGTTTTAACTTTTTTTTAAAGTTTTTTTTTAGTAGGTATCTACTACGAATAACACACTAACATAATCATGTGATCAGATGAATTACCTCTGTAGTATTAGAATTCTATTTGGATTAGGGGTTTCTTCACCACTCGTAATCAAGTCCTTAATTTCTTGCTGTAATGCGTTTTTCCCTTCAATGTTGTTTTCAAATCCGTCAAACGTACCGCCAGGACAAATGGCCATGACTCTTATTTTATTTCCGGTCGCCTTCGAATTAAACGGACACTTGAAACATACAAAAATTTGGCTAATATTATAATTTATATAAAAAAATTAAAATAAGAGCTCCTATACTCATAAGTCTTAACATAAGAATATTTAATACATGTTCATATTCCTGTCATCAAAATATTCACGGTATACTCACTCCAATAGATTTTGTGAATTCGATAACAGCTCTTTTGGTCGATTGGTACATGGGCAAGACGGTGTTGGATAGTCCAACTATTGACGCTACATTAATGACTGCAGACTTTTTGTCTTCTTTGTTTTCAATGTATTTAAGACCTAGCATGGTACCTCGAACTACTGCTTTCTATAATGCGTAGGTATAAAAACATTTAATTAATACTTTGAATAGATTCTTGTGTACAAAATAACAAAATATTAGAATTTTTTCTGTTATGTTTCTCGATTATCCTCAATAATAATATAACTGCTTATTGAACTAAATAAAAAAGCTCATGGCAATAAAAAAATATTACTGGTGTACGATTTATGTATACATAACTTTTTACTTGGTTACTTACGTAATTTAAATCGATGGCTAGCTCCCAAGAAGTCATATACTTGGTCATGATACCAGCATTATTGACAACAATGTTTATTTTTCCAAATCGCTCAATAGTTTTCTTAAAAGAATCTAAAAAAATGTATATAAAAAAATTTTAAATGTGAAAATGTTCTGAATTTTGTATAAATTGTAATTTGTTATGTTTAAACTACATACCCAATTTATAGATATGATTATTTACCTTCGAATTCGATTTCATTGGTAACATCACACTTTATGAATATTAATCTACTTTTTGAAGATAATTTGTATTTGATTTCTAATTCACTGATCGCATTATTTCCTATTTCTTTGTTAATATCTATTAACGAAACCTTTAAAAGTAATTATAATGATAATGTTTCTTGTGAAATTATATTTTTGAATAATTATGATGCCTATTTATGTACTTGGCAAAAATATGTTTAAAACTATCTATCATAATGAAAAGTGATTAAATTAGGCACTAATTATTTTAAAAATTAATCAAATTTTTAAGGGCATTGCAAATGTTTCAGTCACTTTTTTTTGAAAACACACGACACATATTCATTTATTTATAATATATAAACGCCGAACCTGCAATTTTAAATTAACAGATTAAGTTTAAAATTAATAGATACAACAATAATATAATAATACAAATACACACAAAATTAGAACATATGGAAAAACACAACATAATATAAACTAAATGGTAATACCTTAATTTAGTAATAAAAACAATGATACAACATATTTAAAACAATGATATTATTCAATTACCCATTAAAATCAAAATTAAGATTGTTCAGATTACGAAGCATTCTGTGTAAGGGGTGATTATGTCCGTGTAATGTATTGTGAGTTGGAACTTGGAAAAGAGCGTGATTTCTGAAGAAGAAGGAAGTGATACGAAAACATATTTTAGAGAGGTGATCGGGTGCATCTATGGTGCCACCTATGACCGAGGTTATAAAGCGCTCATCAGCATCTTGTCGACGATGATTGTTAACTATCAACGAGTATAGCTTTGTATAATAACGACAACTGTTTCATAAGAAACTGCATTACAAGCAGTTCAGAAAAACTATGTATACTAATGAAATTTAAAAAATATTTGGATTTTATTCAAACTTTGGACCTTTACATTTTTTTTTATTGATTTTGACCTACAATTTTTATATTTATAACTTAGTATATCGTACCTTAATATTCTATTAATTTTTCAGATGTTAGGTGTTTTGAAATTGTGAGTCTTACCATTAAGTTTAAAGTTATAACTATGTATTAAACCAATCAGAAATACAACCCTTGCTTAGAAACCTTGAGGATTATTTTTCAGTTACGAGTTACGACACGTACGCAGACCGCTGACCGCGACAGGCAATTGTGTAGTGCGACTTTCAATGATTTTCCCAGTTGTGATTTAATACATTGTAAAATCGCATCAAAAGTTGCTTGCATGTATTCTGTTGACACACTGCAGTAAACGCAGCTGTTCATCATGACTTCACCCAAAGCTTTTTATAACTATTTATTAGCTCAGTGTGAATTTAGCTTTTACGCGATGTGTTTGCATAACACGTTTTCGGGCCAACCATATAGTTTATACTATACTTATATTATATACGTATATATACCAAGTGTATATATATATATTAATTTAACATAAAATACTCATTATTACAACAAAAAAAGTATTTATGTTTTTGAAAATATTTTTTACATAATTTTTAATTTTATATGTGGATAAAACTATCTTAACAATGTTACTTTTAACTCCTATAAATCATGAACAAAATTTTTTTTTAAATACCTAATTTATACATTTAGAAATAATGAGTGTTAAATAATAAAAAAATCACCTGGTTTATATTTTCGATGTATTGTTATCTGTCTTTCCGGCCTTATCGTTATAGATTGTATTATTATCTTATTGTTATATACTGCAATGAGTTCAAAGTCGAAAAATTAACTACACAATTAACTTGCCTATGGTCTTAGTGTCTTCTATATTAGTATAGTGTGTGTTTTAAAATCATAGACGTATATATGCGCACATAGTACTGTATGGGTGTTGTAATATGGTGGACGCATACTTGTGTCCATGGTTAAAAAAAATAATGGTGTGCTAACATCCTTTTAACAAAAATAAGAGTGTAAGAATCCAAATTTTTTAAAAACATTTTATTATAATTATAATTATTTCTTTTTGGTGTGGCCATATGGATACTTAAAATATTTATATAATAGTGTTGAATTACGATTTAAGTTACCGAAAACATGATTATTGATAACAATGATAATACTTAATCTTATTATAATATTACATCATCAATGTGAACTGTGCGACGTACAAACGTTATTTATCTATATATTTGGCTTAAAAATCGTAAAGAAAAAACCTCCAATCGTCGTCAAAACAAAATAATTTACAGAAAAGAGGGGTCATTTCAGAAGACTGCATACGCAATGACTATTCCTGCCAATTGAAAATATTTAATGCGGACAAGTAAAATAATATTTATTGATTGATTTCAGCTAAATCAATTGAAATTACCAAATTACAATAAATTACATTAAACACACACCCACAAATCTAAATTATATTCGAACTATAAAAAGGGGGGAATAAGTAACCACTCTAATATATTATATTATTCTGTACAGTGGGAGTCGGGTTGACTTCGTCATTGAGTAAGTTATTGTAGTAGATGTGTTAATTTTGAATTGAATGATAAATCATTATAATATTATATGCTTACCCATAAAAAACGATTCTGAGAGGAGACGGTCTGTCAGCCTATTATTGTTATTTTATTTATGAACAAATTTAAGGTTATGTATTATGTATAATTATCATAATATAAATATATTAATTCATTATTATATTATTTACTTTTTTTTTTAGTAATACGGAATTAACTATAAATAAGCAATAGCAAAAAATTGATCTCAAATTTTCAAAATCAATAGGACTTTACAATTTAATCTAATAACAATATGTAAACTAGTTGTATATACAATGTAACCATACTTTTACTTTTAATGTTGTACTGTCTATAAAAAAATATTTATAAATGCTGTAACCCAATTTAAATTGTAACTAATGGTCATAGTAGCCGGGCTTATAAGATCAATAAAAAAATAAAAAAAATTCATCTAAATGTTTTGAAAATGTCATTGTGTACTTATATAAAATAGGATCGTATACGCGTAAACATTTTAAATCCCTATATTTTGGAACTACAACTACTAATATCTAAAACTGAAATATTTATTCTTTGTTTAAATGTCAAATTTCGTCTAAATTTGAACTTCAAATATTTTAATGAAAGTCTGTATTCATATATTATTTGGTTTCGGTATGAACTTATATGAGAAGCCTTGTATTAAATTTTTAAGCCCTTACTATAAAAATAGAATATTAAATTGCTATACATTTTAATTTAAAAATAATTTGTACATTTCCAAGACTTTGTCAAAATTTGAAATTCAATTAATGCTTATAAAAAAAATTGTGGCTATAAATAGTTTAAAATTTTTAAAAGAAGAACTTTTTATGGAATCCTGTATTCAATTTTCAATCTTTTTGACCAAGCTTTAAAAAGCTTTCTCAACACTTAAAGAAAAAACGACTAAATATTTCAACAATTTTAAAGTCTATAAATAGCTTAAATTGATCATAAAACATTTTATTGAGGATAAAAACTAACAATTTTAGTAACAGTGGATTTTTTCAATCTTCCACAATCATTAAGTATTTGAGTACAACAAAAAACTAAACATTTTTAACTAGAAAATATTTTTTTATCCATTAATCTAATTTCAGACACTTATACAACATATGCATTATGAATTTTTAACGAAAAATAATTTGTAAATTTTCGTGATTTTCGAGATCTTGACGAATTTTAACAACAAACGCCCATAAAAAGTTTTTGTAGATTTACGCACAACTTTTTTTTTTAAATCCAGTCTAAGCATCTCACGAGGATCTTGTATTAAATTGTCAATCTTGTTGACAGGGAAAAATGATTTTTAACGACATTTATTGAACAAACTGTAAATTTTGAATGTCTATAAATAATTCAATAATAGTTAATTTTGAAAACTATAATAATATGATGTATAGAAAACGTTCGTATATAAACATTTAATGACATTTTCAAGTGTCTACACGGTTATAATTTTTTTCAGTTGTAACAAAATAACAAAACCGTATTTATAAATCCGGTTAAAATATGATTATATTGGTATTACTTATTAGTTTGTTACTTACATATGCACCGCTTTTTAGCAGCTCGTCGACGATTGCGAGACCCATTCCTTGACCACCGCCCGTCACCAGTGCTACAGTTCCATGCAATTCACCATTTGAACTTTGGGTGTTCATCGCAATATAGTTTTAGGCAGTGCCGAAATTATAAATGTAACAGACAAACTTTTGGTCTCTCAAACTCTAAGAGAAGAATTGGAGTTATTTAAAGTATCAAAAAAACAATGTTGTTTAAATAAATTTATAAATCTTCTACGTCTTTAATGATATTACTACCTTTAATACTTCTGAATGTTTTTAAGTCGCTTTGTCCCTTCACTCTTGACGGAAGCAATTATAGTTTTTCGACTGCATCTTCATCAATCATCATCAAATTTACTATTGGGATTTAATCAATTTCATTCTACGCTTCACAAAAATATTAACTGTTATCATAATATTGACCTGTGAGTTAATATTGTGTTGGGCATTACTTTTGATTTATTATCTCTGTAAGTTGATCCCATTCGTCATTCTATTCACTATTGTTATCATAAGAAATATACAACCCACATACATAAATGAAATTATTTTTCTCTTTATTTTTATTATTTTTAACTTGTAGCAGCACGTTCTACTGTCCTATACAAAAATATAAAATTACTCTTGATACAATAATCAATATTTACTGATAAATACTGTTCTACTTTAAACATTTTAGCAAGTAAGACGCATTTAAGGCCAGAATTCTGGAGCGGGGCATAAAGCAGCTAACAAATTTAGGGGCAACAAGTTAAAAATATAACGTTGTAATGTAATGTGTCTTACCCACACAATACTGGTGAGGGAGAGTTGCTACTATGTGAGGGGCGTTGTTCAAACTTACTATTCATGGTTATAGTCTATTATTTCAAAATTTTCACCATTCTATTGTAAAATGAGTCCATTAGGTGATACTAGGAATTATTTTCGTTAATATACTCGCTTGAAATAGTTCAATAAATAGGATTCAACATCTCTATATTAGATACCTACCTAGAACCAAATTTCTTAGTTAAATTTAAAATTATAAGAGGTTAAATTTTACAAACAGATTATTACGTTTTTATTTAATTCATTTTATAATTTTAAACAAATTTAAAAAATAAAACAATAGCAATTTAATTGGGTATTAAAAAAATGATTTTGTTCCGATTTTCCCAGTGAATTACTGCTTTTAATCTAAAAGCTAAAATGCTTGTACAAACAATAGCTAATAAAAATGGTGGTTTTCAAGTAAAAAATTTCAGTTTTTAAATAATTTAAAATCGTGACCAAACTCCCTCTAATGGTATAAAAAATCCAAGTATTTTAAAATGTGTTTTTTAAGTAAAGTGGATACGGTCTGTTGACTATCACCCTATGTCAAGTATATTACATTTTTTTTTAAATATTGCTATTAAAGTAATTTATTTTTGTTTTAGTAGTATGGTAGGTCGTTTTAATTTTTGGCGAAAACATTGCAATTATTATAGAAATAGTATTTAATTATTAGTGTATATATCACCCTATTACATGATTGTTTTTAATTTTTGAATCGATACCATCTGACTGTTGAATAGTGTGATTAGGTTCAAGTAATTGCTTAAAATGCATGTAAATATTTTTAAAATGTCATCGCGTATAGTAAAGCTTATAAATTCATAATACACAATACACATAATAGTTACAACTTTTAAGTTCTCGCATTTTTCAATCTTTTATTTTTTTGAATTACAACAAAAAACTAAAATTGATATTCTTTATTTAAATATGTAATTTTTAAATTACAAATTTCCAAATTTGTACTTGGAATGTCTATAAAAAAATCAAGACTATTAAATATATAGTCTAAATAAATAAGAGAATAAAATATAAATATATTTTTTGGTTCCAGTATAAACTACTTATGAATTAAGTTATGAGGAATCTTATATTCAATTTACAAGACTTTAAAAATCAATCTTTTTATCAATTTTTAACTTCAATATTATTTGCAAATTTTCGTAATTTTAACGAATTTTCCATAATTATTAATTTTTTTAACGAGTTTGAAAGTAACTGTTGTAAATTATTGTTTTAATTATTATTTTGTGCCTCTTATTTTGGCCGCCGGATAGCGCAACGATCTAGCTTTTGGCTAACTCGGTCGGCTGAACAATCCGACGGAGGTGGTTTGTGGAGGAGTAAGTCTAGGCATTTGGCAGTGTTTGAGTTCCCACACGTTAGTAGGGATGAACTGTGCTTTAGATGAACTTGAAGTGATTAACTAGTGTTGTTTAAATAAGGAAAAGTTGATAGTTTTAGTTAAAATAATTGAAATATTTCTAATTAAACGTTATAGAGCAAAATAGTTTTTTTTAAACATTTAATTTTTGTACAATTTCAATAAATAATTGTGGTATGTATAGGAATAATTGACAGTGTTTATAGATGTAAATGTATTTGTTTGACTTATAATTTGTTCATTCTTATACTTAAAATACATGGGTTATTAAAAATATTCAGATTTACTCAGGTAATCAGGTAGGTTAGCTTTTAATGAGCTCTTGAATTATTTTGGTTTTTTTTTAAAGTTGTAAAATAATTGAATGTTATAACTTATAGTTTTATATAATAAAAAAGTATTACTACTGTTTATAATGTTATAGTATAATATAAGAGAATTGTAATAGTAAATTATAAATAATAATGTCATATCATAATTCATTTTTAATGAGAGGTAATATTATATTATTTATTTAAGGTAATAAGTTATTTAATATTTATTTATTATGCAATTATTATAAATAATAGGTTTATGCTTTATGTACAATGTTTATGAATGATCAATAATATATCAATATATTCGCAATACACTATACAACACAATTATTATTGTTCATTTAGATCAATATGAGATGTATTTATATCACATGGATACTTTTTTTAAAATTGGTGTGCTGTGAAATAGAGGTCAGAATTGCTGATGGAATTCTCAAAGGACAAGTTCTGCAGTCGAGAGATGGACGGACTTATTATTCTTATATCGGTATACCATATGCAAAACCACCAATTGGGGATTTAAGGCTTAAGGTATTAACACTGAATTTAATATTTATAATATTAATATGCTATATGCCCAAAACGTGAAATTACTATTTTAAATTTAGAATTGCTCTCATGAAATGTCGAATTTTATATTTAATTGTCTAGGTAAGTTTTTGTCGTTGTCGATGTAAATATATACATTTTTATTGAAATTGAGTGACGACACATTCTACTAACAATAGTCCTCGTAGAACTTATTATACAATTATACTTGGGATTTTTTTTAGTATTAATTTCTATTAATTATAATACCACACAATAAGTATATCGAATGCATTATTTAAAATGATTTTCAATAAAAAAAAAAAAATAAACAATTACGGTCGGAATTTTGTTTTTGACAAACACATTTAAAAAAGGGGAAACTTTTTCTAGTTATTAAATATAAGCTGGAAAACCGTTACTGTCCTACCAAAATGGTGACTTCTGATCATATAACCCCCAAGTTGAAATTGTTGCATCCATCTCGTTGCATTGTATTTTAAATGTATTAAAGGCACCACAACCAGTCGAACCTTGGAACGGGACATTAGATGCCTCGAAAGAATCTAACAAAATATGCATTCAAAAAAATGTCGCTGATAGTCACGAAGATTGTTTGTACTTAAATGTGTTCACTCCAAAAGTTGATAAAAAGTTTTTACCAATAATGTTTTGGATTCACGGTGGCATGTTTTCTCGTGGAAATGGAGGGCCTGGTTCACACGGGCCTGAATATTTTATGGACAAAGATGTGATATTAGTTTCTATAAATTATAGACTCGGTGTATTAGGTAAGTCATAGGGATATATAAGGGTGGAATTTCATCTTTGGCAGTTAAAATATTTTCATACTATTAAAAAAATCATTTATTTCCTAGGTATACTTACGTATTAATTAATATTATTTTTAGTATAATAGAAATGTATAATTTTAAAATGTTCATGATTTAATTAAAAAATTAAAAAATATATATTTACGCATAAAATGTTTTTGTCACACATTTATTTTGAACAGTTGAAACAAGTTGAACAAAAAAATACAATTTGATGTGTATTTTAGTAATTTTTCAATTAATTTGTGCTCCTAAAGGGTTTTTTAGTACCGAGGATGATGTGATGCCCGGAAACTATGGAATGAAAGATCAAGTAATGGCGTTACGTTGGGTACAGAAAAACATCGTTCATTTCAATGGTGATCCTAGTCAAGTGACAATATTTGGCGAAAGTGCAGGAGGTGCTAGTACAGGATTTCATATGTTATCACCAATGAGCAAAGGTCTTTTCCATAAAGTTATACTTCAAAGTGGTAGTCCGGTTTGTAAATGGGCTGTTTCACCTATTGGACTTCCTCGTAAACGCGCACACGCTGTAGCCGTTATTGCCGGCTGTAATTTCAATACTTCCGAAGACATATTGCGATGCTTGAGAAAACTTCCAGCCGACTATATTATCGATCTACAAAACAGATTATATGTAAGTGTAAAATTAAATTAAGCTATAAATTTCATGAATTATTTTTTTTCCATTGTTTTATTTTTCCCATGAAAATATGCAGATATATTTTAATACAATGAAAAACTCCAAGTAATAGAAATCAAAAAGAAATAATTTATATTTTATAAATTATAATTTAATAATGACATTCTCTACGGTTTTTAACTTAGATATTATACAGTGTTACTCACGGAAAACAGAAGATTTTGTTTAAGCAGTACATCTACTTGGTTAGTTAAAACATTTTTTGATTATTTTATTAGATAATCACATGTCATTCGAGTTTTAGAATAACGTCAATCTATCTTGTTCATAACACGATGCAGGTTTGTAGTTTGTTCATAAAGTTGAGGTGAACGAGTTATAGCGTGTTCCTCAGAATTGCACCATATGCACATTTTTAGGGTTCCTGTACAAGTGGGCCAGGTGATTTCTCCATGTAACTGTCTAATAAAATATTAAAATAAAATGATTTTAAATCAAAAAATTATAGAGTAGGTGCTGCTTATTCAAAACTCATTCTTTTTCTGTGATCTACTCAGTAAAAAATGTAAGTTCTATAAAGTTTGTCGGTTAAATGTTTAATGTTTGGTCTATTTTTAAGGCGTGGCTTTCACATCCGTGTATACAGTTTAATCCTGTCGTCGAAAATTGTAATTCTGGTCAAGAATCATTTCTCTGTCATCATCCTGTATACGATTTTAAGCAAGAGTCGTTTGTACCTGCTATTGTTGGTCTGAATTCAGCTGAAGGTGGTCTGTTTGTGGCTTGTAAGTTACATTGTTAACTATTCATTATAATACACAAAACATCACATATTTATGAAATAGATTAGATTAGATTTTTTCCTACTATGATTGTGGATTGCTTATCATAAATTACTCCAGGAAGGTATAAAATGTAATAATTAAAACATTTAAAATATTTTTTAGGGCATACAATTTTGCCCCTCCCTTAATTATTGATAATACTGAAAATCCATCAATCAATTCTTGACTTTTGATTGATTATCGTACATGACGTGTTTATATTTTCTGTTGGCGCAGCACTGTACAACAGCACTTCTTTGATATATACTGAATTCCAGACGTATTTTAATCGTATACTGTCAATTATGCTATTTTATGACCACTACACAAGGCCGGAAGATTTAGACGAAATCGGGGAAAGAGTGTTGAAAGAATATTTTCCATCAGGAAGATTGGACGACAATACTCATTCGAATGCGGTTAACGTAATAAACTCAATACTGTATAAATATAACAACTGAAGAGATATTTGCATTTTAATATTTATGTATGCAAATGTATAACTTATATATATATATTTATATGCGATTTATGATTTCAGATGATAGGCGATGGATGTTTTACTCACTGCATTGTTGATATGGCGAAAAAATTGTCTTCTCCAGTCTACAGTTATTATTACGATTATCAAAATGAGTTTTCATATAACAAACTATTTGGCTCATGTGAAAAAAGTCTAGGAGTCACTCACGGGGATGAACTAAACAGTCTGTTTAAAAAGAGTAGTTTAAATCCAAACGATTTAAACGCGGACGATCTCAAAATCTCCAGACTAATGGTCAATATTTGGTATAGATTTGTGACTTCTGAGTAAGTACCTAATTAGGTAGTACCTACATTTAAATGTACTCGTTGAATTCCTATTTTATTATTATCATTATTAGATATTTCAATGTGCAATTAATATTGAATACTAAGTATGAATGTTTGATTTATGTTCTTTTAATCCACAAATTCTAGTCCCATGGGCTTATGGCTAGGGTATCGTTAAAAAAATTTAATTTAAAATCAATTATGTTTTATTAATGATACGTTATAGTATTTTTACTATCAGGTTGACCATTTTAGAAATAAAAACCATATTTTATGTTTTTCAAAGATATGAGTAAACTCTTTGTAGGAATCATGCTTATTCTACAATTAGTATGTATTTCGTAAATATATAGGAATAAATATTTTTCAGAACTCCTACTATTGACGGAACAGACACCGGGACTGTTTGGCCAATTTTTACTTACAATACAAACTTTAGCGTTTTACACATTGATTCTGCACAACCATCAATCATACAAAATCCCTTCGACGAGAAATATAAATTCTGGAACCAACTACCTTACAATTTTCATCTAAATCAACCGATGTCACGAAAAACTGAACTATAGTTTTATCATCATATATATTGGAAATTGGATTTGTATAAATATCGAGTGAATAGGTCGTAGGGGTAACACTTTCAAGTTTAGAACATTCAACAATACATATTATAAGCTATTATATTTAAAAAAAAACTGTTTTAATTATTTATATTGGACATAATAAATTATAATCTAGTCATATTTAATTGTTATTCTATATTTTAATAGGTAACATCAGTGTTTACCATGTTATCATTTCATACTTGTTAGTTATTTGTAGTTTTTATAGGTACATATTCAGTAGGCATCCTCTCATATTGTATTTCCTCTAGTACATACGTATAAAAAACTAGGAATTAGAATTATTTGGTGGTGTGATCTGAGTGAATATTTATTGTACTTACATTCTATTCATGCAATTGGTAAATTATTATTGTTGGTTCATCTTTTTTTATGTTATCAGAATTGTATAGCCACACTCAGATAGAAGCATTTTTTTTTTGAAATAATAAATGTCATAATCGTAGTGTTTAAGATGTGCAGACCTATTTAATATTTAATTAATTTAAACACTATTTTACTTGATAAACGTAAATATTATGTAATAATACTAGCTGATCCCGCGCATTTCATGCCCGTTGAAAATGCTAAATCTATACATGAGACTCTCTTGTGTTAATGCGAGCAATATATTATGAGGTAGGATATTATATTATATTATATTATACTATTATTATCGTACCCCACGCTAGGTAAATACTCTATATGAATAATATTTTTTATTTTGACTGTGCATACGCCAATGAGCGGCTATAAGTGCGACTCAACCATCTTAGCAAGCAATTTGTGAAAATTCGATTAGTTATTAGTTAATTTTTACCAACAATTAATGTAACACCATTGATAATGAATATTAATAATAGTTTCTCAGAAAAAATTAACTGTTTTTTTTTGCTAAAATAAATATTATTATTGTTATTATATATTATTCCACGTCGATACCAACCTGTCTAGACGCATCTGTGATTGTCGAGTTTGAATGTTATTTATTTTCAGTCAACGACAATTTCTTACTAAAAAAGTTATAGGTATAACATTTACACGTTTATTTAATTAATTATAACTTAATACTCATTTTTTATTGACAAAAGAGGTACTAAAACCTTCAGCAGAGTGTCAGGTATAACAGTAAAAAAATGTCAGCCAAATCCGTTCAGTAGTTTTCTCGGTTAGAGCGGTCGTAGAAAACTCCTTACAATTTTATATAATAGCATAGATTATTTAATAAAAAGCATTTGCTAGATTCTATGGGAAATTCCAGAGTTGTGTAGAAAATATGTCTTTTAGAATGTACCTATAATTTTTTATCGTCTAGTTCGAAATCATAAATCTATCAAACATATTCTGCCGGACAAAGTTTATCCTTTGTGATTATAACTTAGGAGATTATCATACATCATGATTAATAAACATTTTACTATATGCGATATAGTTATATGAATTATATGATGTGAAACTACTTCAATATTTTTGTTAAAAATTGAAATTAAAGGGAAAACCGACAGTATTAATTTCATATATTGTGTAAAAAATATATTATTCACCACCAGAGTTAAACATTTAAGGTACCTACACCTAATTTTTTGGAGAGAATTTTTTATTAATAGATTCAATAAGATACTCAAATAATATATTTTTTATCTGTGTTTGTACAAATAATTTAAATATCTACTCAAGTTATATGAGCATGTTAAATATTACCATATTCAAAAATGGCCTTATCTTGTTTTAGACTTTAAATATCGTAAATATTGTTAATTGCTTAGCCGACAATGTTCTTGACTTGAAGTTTGATATAAAGGTCTAAGGTCGATTGTGAATTAATTTTTGTTTCTAATACTCAAGCTAACAAATAATAACACAATTCTCTATGTTGCGCATGGGTTAAAGAGGGAAAACCAATAGTGCGCTGACATCCTCTTAAGAAATACACTAAATTATTGTTACCTGTAGTTGATGAACAGTTAAGGCGAGACATGTGATTAATGTTGTTAAACGTTCACTGTGTAATCATCAGTAGGTACCTTTAGTCATTTCAATTGTCATAATATGGCAAATTGGTTAATTTTAAATATCGCTGTTAATTAATATTATAGTTTAAACATTTGGTTTGTTATTTTATATAATAAGTGAAATCGGTAAAACACCTTATCTTCCGATTTTAGACTTTGGGCGGAATTTATTGTGAAGTAACTAAAAAAAAATAACGTTTATGAAGATATACAAGCAATATAAATTCAATTATCAATAATATCGGCAAAAATCATTTCATTTCAGAACACACATAGAGGTAATACTTAGATATTATATTTTATTATTTCATAATTTTAATATTATTAGTTTAATTCTTATAATTTTACTATATATTCTAAGTATATAAATATAAATATAAACAATATATAATTTAAATGTTGTATACGTCCAGTTTAAATGTTTAACTTGGTAATTTTTTTTTTTGTAATATTACTAACCAAATTGCGTGTAGGTAATATATCAATACTTTTTCATTTTTTTTTATACGTTTTCTATAATATTTGTATTTTTAAATACATTTGTGCTTCCAATAATAAAAAATAATTATTTAATGTATACTACTGTACCATATTCTCTTTAGAATAATTGATTTAAAATTGTAATCTGTACTTAAGACACATTATTAATTTAGAGTGACTTGTACTTGTATGTGGTTAAAATTTATTGATTAACACTTTCTCAACCCTAAATATAAATATTAAGTATCTTGTATAATTATAATATGTACATTATTGTAGATACAATGCTGAAATATTTATTTCATCATTATGAATTGATCACGTTATGATTTCATTTTACAATTCTGTTCATACCCTGTTTGACTAATGTCAATCAGACAGAAGTTCATATTAATTATTTTTAAAATTAAGTCGCGTCTTAAATATATGTGATATATATTCCAACATATTTGGTAGGTACTGTTTTAATAATTATAAAACGCCTGATAAAGAAAGTAGTGTACGAACTGTGTATACAATATCACCTTTACATTATACAATATATTAGTGGATAACTGATAAAGTCCTTCTTTACTAATATAATATACTATGACGTAATTGTCGAGCTATAATTATTTGTATGCTGAAAGCTAATAGAAAAAAAACGACTGATTATAGTGACCTTGGAATTTTACTGTAATAGTATATAACAACAACAGTTTTCTGTTTCGTTTCATGTATTTATTGATAATTAGTGTTCAATTGATAACTTGAAGTTCAAACGATACTTAAGTATTTATGTCACCGATCAAAACTCAGCGTCTTATTACTTTATTCTTATTATTACTTATTTATTCAAGAGTAAGGACCCAATTACATACGATTAATTATTTAATACATAGAAATATAGTATTAATAAACATTTGGAAAAACTAACTACCCACATTATACTTAACTATTATAATAAAATGAAAAATCAACAGAATTTTGTACTTTGGTATTCAAAACTATAATGTTGTTATTTATTTTTACAATAATATTATGGAGCTCAAATCGTTAAGACTTTAGGTTCTTTATAAATGACTGAATGCCTACAAATGTTAAACTTAAATTAATAACTTAAAAAAAAAAATATTATATTTTGTTGGAAATACGTGTATATAAGGTTATACATATTTCTTCTTGTTATAAATAATAGTTATTTAGCAATTATTTATAATAGATATAATGTTATAATTTATTCCATTACATATTATTATGATTAAAGTGTTATTTAATTAATTAATTAATGGAATAATTATAATTTTTAAATTTTAGGAAATAATTTATAAAGAAATAAAATAATTTTAATGCAATCAAAATAGAAAAAAATACTCACCATTGGACATGTTTTGCCTATATAATTTAATATTTATGTATAAAGTAATCAAAATGTTATTAACAGAGGCAGGTTACGTTTATTTTACTCATTGTAACTTATTTATTCTTAACCACAATAATCAAATAAAATTAAAAAATGAATCATTGAATATTTCAAAACTTATGGAATCTAAACCTACTATCAAGTGGGCACTTTGTACATGTAGAAATACGTCTCTGTTTATTAAAGACATTTAAAGTTATGGTTTTAATTACTAATGAATACATCAGACCCTAAAATAATACACCTAATAATTTTATAATATTTTAGATGATTATGAAATGGACTTTTATTGCTGTTACGCTGTACTTAGATTTTGTGCGCTGTATACCACAGGAGTTGGAAATAACTAAAGGTGTAATTAAAGGACAAGTTTTGAAATCTCGAAATGGGCGGTGTTATAATTCTTATACCGGAATACCTTATGCAAAGCCTCCACTTAATGAACTTAGGTTTAAGGTATATTATATCAAATTATAAACATGGTCATAATTTGACTGAAACAAATATTTTTTATACAATCATTATTACATGTTGTATTTTTTAATTTAGGCTCCTGTTCCGGTGGAACCGTGGAACGGCATATTGGATGCTACGAAAGAATCAAATATATGTATTCAACAGGGAAGCACGGACGGGCAGGAAGACTGTTTGTATTTAAATGTATATTCTCCAAAAACGAATAAAAAATCGTTACCTGTCATGTTTTGGATTCACGGAGGAGGATTTACTTGGGGCCACAGTAGGTCAGGTATCTACGGGCCAGATTATCTTATGGACAAGGACTTGATATTAGTAACAATAAACTATAGACTTGGTTTATTCGGTTAGTATTTTAAACGTCTTGCAATACTAAATAAATATTGTGGACTTAAAATTTTTTGTCATCATTTTCATAATATTATAAAACTAATAAAAATTAAACGTCTAGTTATAATTGCCCAGGGTTTCTTAGCACTGAAGATGATGTGATACCGGGAAATTACGGATTAAAAGATCAAGTAGCAGCATTACGTTGGGTGCAGGAAAACATTGTTCATTTCAACGGTGATCCCAATCGAGTGACAATTTCCGGCGGAAGTGCAGGAGGCGCTAGCACTGGGTTTCATATGTTATCGCCGATGAGTAAAGGTCTTTTTCATAAAGCCATACTTCAAAGTGGTTCGCCGGTTTGTACGTGGGCCGTCTCACCACCTGGACTTTCTCGTAAACGCGCCCATGCAGTGGCAACTATTTCAGGATGTAATTTCGATACTTCCGAAGACATATTGCAATGTTTAAGACAAGTTCCAGCTCAATATTTGATAGATCTCCACACAAAGTTCTTCGTATGTTATTTATTTCAACAAATATTTTTTAAGCAAAGTATCTGATTATGCATACAGTAAAACTTGTTTTCCCGCATAATACGCTCTTTTGAGTTAATCGCCGCAAGAGCGTCTTAAGCGAGTTTTACTGTAATAAGACAAAATGTAAATATGGTTAAATACTTTGAGTACAATTTACTTAATACAATTTAAAAAAAAATTAATGCCCCTATAAGTCTATAGTTCAAGTGACGTAAGACGTAACAATGTGTTTCGATTTGATGACTTAAATGAGGAATACATAAATAATGTGTTTAGAACCATATAACATTTTAATTGATTTAATTTGAAAGTGGTAGACAAAGAACCAACCGGTAATTTTCATAAAATGAATATAGTATTTATATATATATATATATTCATGTAATATATATATGAAAAAATTAAGAAAAATATTGAAGAAATATGAGTGGTTTTTTTATTAGAACGTTCAGTATAAACTATTACAGTTCAACAATTACAAATTAGTACAATAAGAATATAATATATATAGAGCAACAATTAGATAGGAGAACGATTTAAAAATAACAATAAAAAAAAAAATATGAGTGGTTATTATAGATTAATCTAAGATTCAAATGTTTTTTTATGTTTTATTTAATAAAAAAATTATATTTAGACTTGGATGAATCATCCATTCATTTTATTCAATCTTGTGGTTGAAAACTGTAATTCTGGTCAAGAAGCATTTCTTTGTCATCATCCAATATATGACTTTCATCAAGAATCATTTGTACCGGCTATTGTTGGGTTAAATTCCGCCGAGGGGGGGTTGTTTGTTGCTGGTGAGTTAAACAATAACTATGAATCATAGATAATTATTAAATACTTTTTAAGTACTAATTATGAAACTGAATGAAAATTAATTTTAATATATTTTTCAATAAGTACTTATTATAAATACAAATAATAAATACATTAAAAAAATATTTCAAATACTTAAACATATTTTTTAAATTTGCTGACCCATGATAGCTGCAAGATTTTTAGGCCATGTATCTATTGATAGATAATACAAATATTCGTAATAAATTGTGCAGTGGAATTAATAATGAATATATTTATGATTTATGTAATATATAATATAAATTTCGGTAGAATTAATACAAATATTAATAATATACTTACCTAAATACAAATTGTATTTCCGCAGGTCTGTACAACAATACGTCATTGATAAATCCAGAACTTCGTACGGATTTTAATCGTTTGATATCCATAATATTGACTTATAATTATTACATAAAACCTGAGTACATAGATGAGATTGGAGAGAAAGTGCTTAAAAAATATTTCCCATCTGGAGGTATCGATGATCATACTCACATTAACGCTGTTAAAGTAAGTACAATAATCAATAATATTCTTCAAAACCTTAAATTACTTTATTACTATTTTATATAATCGATGTATATCTATGTATTTATATTTATATCTATATTTCAGTTGTTCACCGATTCAGCTTTTACAGAATGTGTTCTTGACATGGCATATAAACTGTCATCTCCTGTGTATAGTTATTTTTATAATTATCAAAATGAATTTTCTTATAATAAAGCGTTTGGATTATGTGAAAGACCGTTAGGTGTGACTCATGGAGATGAATTAAATAGTATTTTCAAAATGAATAGCTTGAACCCAAATGACTTAAACAAAAAAGACCTCGAAGTTTCGAAATTAATTATTAATATTTGGTATAAATTCATTACAACTGAGTAAGTACATTTGAATTTTGAATTATTTTTAACTAATATTTTAAATATAAAATGAATCATTTCAGATTCTGAGTTAACCACTGAATGTATTGATTTTACAATGATGTGTGTTCTTTAAATTATTATTTTTGTGTCCGTGTACGCTATACTTAGGTTTTTAAAATCCCCGGGATAAAATCAAAAACAAATTTAGGAAAAACAAGGAATTTTTGAGGGAAATCGGGTTTTCATAGAACCGATTTTTGTTTTTGGTGTCACTTTAAAAAAAAATTACCTTAGGTAGATGACATTTTCATAGCATTTTCTGTACACTTTACAATTTTAAAAATATTTTAACTCATGTTGAGTATTTATAGGCATATGAAATTTTCGATTTTATTGGTTTTTTTTAAATTTATGTTGATAGTAAATTTTTTGCTCGGTCAAAAAACTTGAAAACATAATGGAGGGTCCCTCGTAAGTTTTTGAAGGTGTAAATTAAATAAAAAGTTGAGTGAGAATCTTGACAAAAATCGTAAAATCACGAAAAATTGGAAAATTATTTTGAGGCAGATAATCATAAAATCTTTGTTTTTATATTTAAAATTTAAAATTTCAATACAAGATTCCTCATATGTTTGTCTACTTTTATCAAAAAAAAAAAAGTTTCTTCCAGAAAGTTAAATTAAATGTTTATGAGCGATTCAAGTTTAAATTTTTACAACATTGGATATTCACTTGATTATATGTATTTGTTTTAAACAATTAAATTGTTATTAAATTTATTACATATATATCCACCCATGTATCCTACCTATTTTATATTTACCTACATTGTGTTCAACTTCTGATGAATAATAAATTAATTAACTTAACATAATTTAAGATGTGTGCCTTATATTATTTTAGTCAACTCACTACTATTTTTTATACATTACAGTAACCCTACCATCGATGGATTAGAAAATGGTTTACCTTGGCCTACATTTACAGAATCAAACCAATCGGTGATTCTATTCAATTCAAGTCATCCTAGTCTTATTCAAAATCCATGTTTGGATGCCTATACATTTTGGAAAAATGTATATAATTTTATAAACAAAGTCTGATTCCAACAAAAATCCAAACAATAAAATAATCGAACATTTTAAAAATTAACCGATTACACATTTTTTTCCACACTATATTTTGACTATGGTACATTGATACCTAGATAAATCACTAAATTTGGTATTTTTAATTCAAATTACATACACTGAATTTGTTTTTATGTCTTTGTTCAAATTTCTGGTAAATCCATAAGATATGTATTTGGTTAGTTATTAAAGGAAATAGTAATGTATAGGAATTAATTAAATATTTTTTTTTATCAAATTAGATAAACACAGTTATTTTGTTTATTATATTTTCATTATAAAATGTCCATTTAACAATCTTTTATATACTTCCATTATATAATATATTATAATAATAAACAATAAGTGAGTGTGATACCCGTGAAGGAAAAAAAAATGTTTCACAGAATGAAGAATACGTCTTCACCTGAAGAAACTTCCAAAATTAGATTTTGTAAAAGTAAATTTGTTTTTAACATGTCATAAATATCTTCTAGTAATTGTTGGTATTTTTCTGCCTACAAATTATCAAACATTTTTATTAAGGAACAACGGTTCGATTTTAATTTAAGACTTTAGTAAATGATTGTTGACATTCCAAAAGAGAGCTACTTAGCTAATTTATTTTATTGAATATTTCTGATTTTTGTTTATATTTAATAGTATGACTTAAATAAAAATAAAAAGTAAAATAAATGTTGTCCCGAGAATAAGTTTTTGATGGTCCTTACTTCGTTGTTTTTTTTTTTTTTTTAAATTTGTAGAAATGATACACCACTATCCTACAAATTAATCGGTATTTAGGAGGTACGGTACATATTTACAAAAATTTACCATAATATGTAGAGTCGCAGGATGGTGCATTCCTTGGGAAATTTAATTTTCCTAGAATATCTACTGCAAAAGTTTATTATGTTGTTAGCAGTTATTTTAATTTTTCTTTTCAGTGTATCTACTGGTTAAATTTTCTAGTTAGGTTTGGTGAAAAATTTTTTTTCTAGTATTTATGCTTTTATTATTTTAGGAGCTTTACAGTATGTTTAATGTGTATAATAATATTTAATAATGTTTCATTGTTCTTAGTTTTGTTACAACTCGGATCTTGAAATAATTTGAAAACAATATAATTATTTTAACATATTGTATATTATTTTCTCCTAGTCGAGAACTATTGACCTTGAATGAAGTATATGTTTACATAATAATACGTAATCTACATACTATAATTATGAAGATTAGATTAATAGAATATTTTTTAGTCTTCATAATATGCATTCATAAGTAGCTTAGTAGTTATAAGTTATACGTACATTGTGCATGCAATTTAATATTATAATAATATGCAATGTATTGGACAAATATTTACGATATTTTTTATCGCAACTATAAAACCTTTACCTACTATTTTACTTTGACTTATTGTACTCGCATAACTCATATTCGCATTCCCTGTATATATTTTATAATAACATATAAGTTTCTTTTTTAAATTTAAAGGACTTCATAAAATAGCGATAGTTTGAATTTAATTAGTTTAATTTTTATAAATTCTAAATATATAGGAATAATATGACACAATTTTTTGTTTCATATACTACTGCAGAATGACATAATTATGTAATATTGATATCAACTAACTTCTAAATACGTACGTTTTGTAGGCTTGTAGAGTATCGTCATGAGCCATATAACTCATAAGTGTTTGAATAATAATCATAGTTAAATATATTATTTTGTTGTTATCTCATATAATTAATGTACATTATAAAGTGCCTAGGATCTAGGTATACATACTAAAAACATATTATCAGTTATCACTTATTAAAATAGGTACCTAATTATTTATTATACTTTCAAAATTTAATTAAGTATAGTTGATTAAAAGTAAATTATTGGTCTTTACACTGTTCAGTCACGGATCAACGAAAATTGGTTCTTCTGCGCATCCCCACGCTGCCTCTGTCATTGCAGTGGTCAAGTGAGCCTTGGTTTCGATATCAGCGTGATGCGGGGGGACGCTCAGAATCGGCGTGTTTTCTCGCTGAACAGAGTGTAGTTAATTAATATTATTTAGATAATGATTATTTTTATGAACATTAGGCATATATTTGATAGATAATATCATCATATCTGAATGGGAATAAAATACAACTTTTTTTTTTAAAGCAAGATATGAATAAAATTGTGTAATAAACTAATAATACTATTATAGTAACATTTTTATATGTAGTGGACTACAATGTATTTTTCAAGGACGTGGACAATAAATCAGGTAAAATTAATTTTGTGTCTTTAAAAATAATTTATAATATGGTAACTAAAAATAATTATACTCTGCCCTTAAGGTTAATAATATTTTTAGATAGTCAAAGAGATGGTATATTTTTCAAATTCAACCTCTTGATTTCATCAAAATGGGTTTTTTTGTTTACATTAATGGAAAGATAATATTTATTGCCTTTTGTTAATGCTTATGTAATAAATAATTTATTATGTTTTATAGGTACCTATTTGAAATTATAACTAATACATAAAATATACAATGATTCAATGAAACAATTACCTATACAAATTTGAATTAAAAATACATATTATTAAATCGTTGCACAATTTAATGATTGTAAACTTATAAGTTATAACTTGAAGGTAAGTCAATTTAGTATTTAAGTATTTAGAAAATAACTTTTTTTGAAATTAATTTTTCTTAAAAAAAATCAACAATTATTTCAAACATCTTTATCAAACTAAGAAATATTAGTATAATATGGACTGTTATGTGTCTCCCTGCTATAGACTGCCGAGGCCAACATCGTAAGAAAAATATAGTCAATACCAGCTGTGCATATGAGCAGGCGGGGAGAGGGTAACGAGCTGAAGCCCCCTCCCCTCGCCCATATTATGATTAATTTTTTTGTTGTTTTATATTTATCAAGTTTTGACTATAGTAAATTAGTAAGCAAGGACGTACGTAAATATGCGGCTAGACGGATTAGCTGTGGCCAACATAAATAAAAAAGAACAATATTAACAGAAGTTGAAGTTTTAAGAATATTTTCAAATAGTTCGTCTAAACGTCTGAAATTATTAGACTGGACAAAATTAAAATACAATTGCAATTTACGGTCCATTATTTTTTTGATAAAAATGTTTTTTTGAAATATATTTTTGTGTATATTATATGTTTTATTTTTCTATTAGTAAGATGGTAAGAACTATTGAATCACCTACTTTATTTTTGAAACTTAATCCTATAAGTTGTGACATCTTTGAGGAAACACTCCCCCCACCCATGAGATATATTTTTATATTCTTTTAAATCCTCGGGGAATACCCAATATAGGTATATACAATCACATTGTGATCATCATAAAATAATACAATATCAAACATTTCACTATTAAGTACACCTAATTAAATAATTAATTTTAAAACGCAATAAAAATAAAAATAAATTTGAATATTTTATGAGATCATTGTAAAATAATTATAACTCATTATAAAGGTGCGAGAAAAGCTTGTGTGCGCTGTGATAATATCATTTTTAAGTTCGACATTTTGCCAAGTGGAGGTAAAAATTACAAAAGGAATTTTAAACGGTCGAATTTTGAAATCTAGAAATGAAAGGCCTTATTACTCGTTCACTGGTATACCGTATGCAAAACCACCCGTTGGAGAACTTCGATTTGAGGTGGGTACCTACTCAATCTGTAAAGGTTTTTTTTAACAAAGATTGTAAACTTTGTCAGTCCGTTAATCGTTACAATATCACGGTACCTATATTATTTATATTATATCGAAGGCTCCGGAACCAGCCGATCCATGGGATGGTACGTTAGATGCCACCAAACATTCAAACGCATGTGTCCAAAAATATGAAACTAATAGCAGTGAAGATTGCCTATATTTGAATGTATACACTCCAAGTACTGGTGGCAATTTTCCAGTTATGTTTTGGATTCACGGGGGTGCGTTTTATTTGGGACACAGTAGTCCGGATATGTTTGGCCCGGATTATTTTATGGATTCAAACATAGTCTTGGTCTCGGCTAATTTTAGACTAGGCGTATTAGGTGAGTTATGTATGACTGTATAAGTTAGTTAGTTACATTCGTTTCTTATTAGTGAGTACCTGTTTATATGTAGCTGGTAAAGTTAACGTGACTATAATTTTTTTTTTTTTTAAAGCGGGGCACCTGTAAGTCTTAATAGGAAAACATTTTAATTTTGCGTAAAATTACAACACTAGACATTTAATGTAGTGAAACATAGTACGTTTTTATTAGAAGAATAAACATTAATTTTTTTTATAAAAAAATGAAAACAAAAAAACGTAGATAATATATTAATAGTAATAATAATAATAGTCAAAATGTAAATAATAGAGTAAATTATTCGGTTGGTTTTCTATAATTTTCGAATCCGCAAAGTAACTGGACAACGCGACGGAACAATTGAGTTAGTAATATTATGTGTAGTTCATTTATTGCCGGTGCCCGCAGTCTATGCAGTGGCAGCGATAAGTGATAATTTGCTGCAGCTACAATTAGGAACTTTTTGTATGATTTATATCAATGGACTATGGGTTTTACACTTTTAGAGTATATGTATACATGCATACAGACTATGTATCTAGTATAATATGTATAATATATATACAAGCTGTAACAGATAAACCTGACCAAAAAAAAAAAAAATGATGCTACCTCAACGTAATACAAAACGTTTTAACATTATATGAGTAGTAAATAATTTAAGAAATATACTCATGTCAGCAAATTTCCTAAAATTGTATTTTGAAAAAAGTTTTTACGTTCCAAATGAATTTAATCAAAAAAATTATTGATATTTTAAAAAATTCTAAAAAATAAACTTCTCGACTTAAATAAATGTTTTTACCATCACGATTGTTTTTATATGATCAGATTCATAAATTGGCTATTTTGAACTTATCCAAAAAAGTGTACTTAAATTAAAAATTGTTTATATTCAGTATTAAAAAATAAAAATAATTTTTTTTTATATTAAACATGTAGCGCAATTGACTAAAAAAAATATATATAAAAAAAACCCAAAATATTGATTATAACAAAAGTTATTGCTTAAATTCCAACCACATGTAGCTTTTTCTCAAAGCAGGACATTTTTAGGTTCTTCGGGGACAGAGGGACACAATGCACGAAAGCGGAGCATAATATGGTCACGTTAGGTTTAGTGTTAAAATGCATTTTAATATAATTTTTATCATGATTATATCATAATGGTATGCATGTACCATACATTCATCCATTTATCCGCTATAGGTTTTTTGAGTACCGAAGACGATGTTATACCCGGAAACTATGGAATGAAAGATCAAGTTGCGGCATTGCGGTGGGTGCAAGAAAATATTGTTCAATTTGGCGGAGATCCCAGAAAAGTGACAATTTTTGGCGGAAGTTCCGGTGGAGCTAGTGTCGGCTATCACATGTTATCGCCGATGAGTAAAGGTCTATTTCACAAAGCCATCCTCCAAAGTGGTACTCCATTATGTCGTTGGAGTACGTCTCTGCCGGGTATAGCGCGCGATCGAAGTAAAATCATTTCATGCATAGCTGGATGTGCTGGAAATGGAACTTCTCAAAATTTATTGAAATGTCTTAAGACTTTACCGCAAAGTTTTTTCAGTGACGTTTATGATAAACTTCGGGTAAGAATAGGTATTATGTTTGTTTTCATGAATTAAAAAAAAAAAAATCATTTGAATATTAATACCTACCGAATTTTTTTTATTAAATATTACTCGGCTCTTAGTAACTATTTTTTCTTTCACATAAAATATAATACAGGAATGGCACACGTATCCTACTGTTTTGTTTACGCCAGTTGTGGAGCAGTGTGACTCGGGCAAAGAAGCTTTTCTTTGTCGTCATCAAATGAAAGAGTTCAAGCAAGAGTCTTTCGTTCCGGCTATCATCGGACTGAACTCAGCTGAAGGTGGAATGATAGTTTCTTGTAAGTTGGTTCCTAGAAATGTAATATTTCCTGGCAATAAACCCTGAGCAGTATCCACATCCTCAACGGCAGTTTCAAGGGGTGATGAGATTCCGTCATAAAAAAAGTGTTCAAATATGTGTGCGTTATTTGTTTGATCTTCAATCCAACCTAAAATATATATTTTTATTTTAGCCATTTACAACGACACGTCTCTTCTATATCCAGAATTGTCGACGGATTTTAATCGTTTGTTATCTATCATTCTGTCATATCAGCATTTCACACACAATTTGGACGAAATCGGTGAAAAAGTGCTCAAAAAATATTTCCCATCTGGAAAAATCGGAGATCATTCGCATTTAAAAACCGTCGAAGTATTAATTATTTATATACGACAGTATGACTTTTTATGTTGGTTACTTATTGAATACGTTTTAACAATAGAATATATTGATGTTTTAGATGATTACCGATGGCCGTTATCTTCACGGCATATTTGACATGGCTCTTAAGCTGGTGTCACCGGTATATTTTTATTTATATGATTATCAAAATGAATTTTCATTTAACACTTTATATGGTAAATGTAATAAAAAATTAGGAGTCACGCACGGCGACGAGTTGACCAGTTTGTTCAAATCGGACATAATAAATCCTAAAAAAATTAATTTAAGAGATACGGAAGTTTCAAAGCTTATGGTTGATGTTTGGACGAAATTCGCAACATCAGAGTTAGTATTACAGATAATATACACCTACTTATTATAATCAACTACCTACAACTAAACATTACACTTAATTAAATTTTTTGTTAGATGTTCTTTTTGAGTTTATTATGCCAGCTACAACTGTGTTCCAAATGTTATAATTATATTTCAGAATCATTCCAGTAAAATATAAAAATGTAATATTTTTGAGTTTTGCTTAAAAATGATATACTTAATTAGAATGTAATGGATATATAATAGTATATTTCAAAATTGAACTCAATGAACGTGTTATTATAAATATGTACAAAACTATACGTGTGTTTAATAAATAATAATACTTACCTAACTTATTTAATGACAATGATTTTACAAAATGAAAATCGTGATAGAAATTTTTAAGATGAAAATCTTTTATTAAATGTGTTTCAATTTAAAATAATATGTGACTTTAAATAAATAGTAAAACTATTAATTTTTCAAATATAACTTACACAATGTTAAACAATGTTTACAGATCACCTACTATTGATGGGAAAGTGGATAGTCCATCTTGGCCAACGTTTAACTCACTGAGACAATCAATACTTCACATACACTCAGATCATCCAGATATTATACAAAACCCACTGGAAGAAAAGTATACTTTTTGGAACAATTTGCCTCTTCTTTCTAATTTCGAGAAAGTTATATCTAAACATAAATTTCCATCAGATCATATGAAAAATGAGTTGTAATTATCTCGAATTTAGTGAGGCTTTATGTTAAATAAATATTAATATAAACGTGTTTTTATATGGTTTCGTAAAAATATCACCATCAATTTTGATTGGAAATTATTATGTTATATTTTTAATTTAAATAAATTCATTTTGTTTTTGGCTTTTGTAAAAAAAAATATGTTTTTATTTTATAATAAACTTGTTATTTACACATTACTTTATTTATTTGATGATATTATGTGATTTCATTTCTGTGCATAATTTTGTATTCGATGATAATAATACAAATTATAAATCTTCTTTTAGTTCAATAAATCAATCATTGAAAAAATTATCTTGTTAACATTTATATTTTTATTGTTAAACTATAAATGTAATAAAATAATTCATTTACATATTTTTCAATCTCAATTATTATTAAAAAAAAATTATTATTAAGCCAATTAAAATGTGAGCCAACTCATGTAAAATTTAAGCTGATACATATAGGTGATAATGTCACATTGTTATAGTTTGAAAAATAAATCTAATAAATAAATAATTTTGATCGAATAGTTTCTATGTAGGTACTAGGTAGTCAACCATTATTATAAAGGAATACATAATATTATAAAGATTTATGTTGAATACAATTTAAGATTATCCATTCAATTGTTCTTGAACTTCCTCTTTAATTAGTGATTTGCACTGCTAATATTTTCATTATTCATAACTACAGAATAACTATTCAACAAAAATAACATCAAAACCGAAATGCAGAGACCAAAATATGAAACACGTAGGTCAAACTGCAAATCATGAATAATAATTAAGACACTATTATAATTAACCGTTTCACAGGGCAAATATGTTTGACATTGTCATCTTAAAATGTATATTTTATACTTATATATAAGCTGTATATTATGATTGTAAACACTTTGCTGTCTTTGCAGTGGACGATTATAGACACTATTAGTGTCTATAATCTTCTCCGTGACTTACGTATTAATTTTTTTGACTTACTATCTGGACATATTTGAGGTAAAATTTTTTATTCACGATTTTGCATCAGTCAAAATTATTTATTATTTAATTTATATTGTGCCTAAATAATAAAATAGCTTAGGACTAGCTTTTGACTTTTGTTATCTTAAAAAGTTAAATATAAAATAATATACCATTTTATATTTTCGTTTTAATACTTTCAGAATAAGAATAATATCTAATATTATGCTAAAATATTAAATGTTTGTACAACATAGATAATATTTAAATAGTTTTTGTTAGTTTAGTTGTTGTATAGTATTTTAATTTTATAAATTCATGATTTATCAAAAATGCCTTATGAAAGTAACAATCATTTATTTTAATTTTGCAGCTTTGTTTGATTTTGTAATTTTTATTATTTGTATATCAATTATCAATTACAATGGAAATATTTGGTATTCTTATGCTACTGGTCGGACTCGTATATGGTACGGATAATATTTTGAATTTAAGTCAAGGAAAGATAAAAGGTAGTATTTTAAATTCAAGAAATGGACGGGAATTTAAAGCATTCCAAGGAATTCCCTATGCCAAATCACCGACTGGAGACCTTAGATTACAAGTATTTAAAGCGAACATCTACGTCACACAATTTTAAATTTATTTTGAGTTCACTTCATAGATAATTATAATAAGTATGATTTTCTTTTTTTAAGGATCCAGTAGAAGCTGATTCATGGAGTGGTATTTTAGATGCAACCAAGGAAAAACCAATGTGCATTCAAAAGAATTTGTTCATGTATGAATCATATGATAAGCTTTTAGGTGAAGAGGACTGTCTATATATAAATGTATACACCCCTAAGGTAATTAAAAAAAAAAATACAATTTTGATTAAACTTTTAAGATAGAATTTAAAAGAAATGTGCTGGCAAAATAATAAACATTTTATTATTTATTATTAATTTATAAACTAGTCAAGCATAAGCCAAAATATGATATTATAACAGTTCATCGAAAAGTAGACAAAATGTCAAACTAACAAAATATTGATTCGTTTTATTATAATTTTTAGATCAATCCAGAGCACTTGCTACCCGTTATGGTTTGGATCCCAGGTGGAGGTTTTAGCTCAGGACATGGAGGTCTGAGTCTATATGGTCCTCAGTATTTGCTAGACAAGGATGTCGTTGTTGCTTCATTCAACTATAGAGTTGGACCTCTAGGTAAATTATTGAAATACTTTAAGCTTAGATGATTTGTACTAGGTAACTAGGTACTTACGTCTATTATTAAGACTTGTAATTGTTGTTTGATATCATGAATAGTAATACAGCTAGTATATTTTTTGTATTAAGGGTTTTTGAGCACCGAAGATGAAATTTTACCTGGCAATTATGGTATGAAAGACCAAGTTTTAGCATTGAAATGGGTAAAAAATAATATTGAAAAGTTTGGAGGAGATCCGAATAAAGTAACCATATTTGGTGAAAGTGCTGGCGGAGTTAGTGTTGGTTTACATTTATTATCACCACTAAGCAAAGGTGAACGCATAATTTGGTCACATATTTGCAATTTAGTAATACTATTAATTACTAATAGCTACCCACTGTTTTGAATGTATTTTTAGGATTATTTCATAAAGCAATACTGGAAAGTGGGACTCCATTGTGCCGATGGGGTGTATCTCCACCAGGATTGGCTAAACGTAGAGCCTCATCATTTTCTACTATTTCTGGATGTCCTGAAGACCCAAAACAGTTGGCTAAATGTTTGAGGAATATGCCCGCAGAATTATTAGTGAATCTCCACTACAATTTTTTTGTAAGTAACTATAATATTTTTTTACTGTATTAAAAAATATAATATATTTGTATTCATAGTTTTGATTTTATACAATAGGAAAATTTAAAGAATATAATCTGTATATTTTAGAAAAAAATCTTTTTATATTATATTAAAAATTATAGGTATGTTATATAATAATATAACACGTACAACATAATCGTTTGTTATAGTTATTGTTTAGTTAACTATAACATATAGAAATATATAAATATAGGTATATGAGATGCATATAAAATGTTTATACTAATGCTTGATATTTTTATAGGAATGGAAAGTGTTCCCGGCGATCACGTTCATGCCTGTTGTCGAAAACTGTGAAAATAAAACAGGGTTTTTATGTAATTATCCATTGATTAACTTTAAACAAGAATCCAATGTTCCGATCTTAATGGGTATGAATTCTGGAGAAGGTGGTCTTTTTGCTGCTCGTGAGTTATTCTTCATTTTTGGAAATATTTAAAATGTCAACAATTATTTAAGTAATTATCATACACGGTCTATGCTAAACAAATTGCAAATGAAAACAAAACAATTTTATGTGAAATGACGTGTTTTAACTTTTCAAGGAAGAAGTATTTTTATTAATTTGTTAGAAATTAATATTCAACGAAATAAGTTGATGAAAACACAAGAAATAAAATTAAATACAATTTAGTTGTGAATAGGTACCTATTCTGACTTTAAACTATGTAATTAAACTTTTTGGTTAGTAAACTTAAACTATTTATTGCTAAGCAAAATTAAATTAGTTCTTAAACGTTCATGATGGTGGTTAAAGTAAACCCTTTTTATTTGTAAGATTACAAGTTACAACCAAAAAAATATTATTTTGGAAATTTGTGAAAAATAATAAAAATTTACTTATGTTTGGTCATTTTTTTTTTATAGGAGTCTATAATGCAGAATGTGAAGTCGATCTCGAATTAAAAAATAATTTTGATCATTATATTTCATCGTTACTTATTTATAAATATACGACGAAGATGTCCGACCTTCCTTTAATTAGTAATCAGATATACAATCGTTACTTTGCTAAAGGAAATATGGACGATCCTTTAGACACTGTTAAGGTTAGTGGACCGTATTACGTAACAATAAAATAATATTATATTTGAATACATAAATAATATTAGCAAAATGCGTTCAATTAAAATGTTTTACACACATTAATAAGTTATAGAAAATGCATTAAACCAAATATATTATGCTCCATTTTATTGCAGATGGTCAGCGGTGGAATTTTTCTACAAGGAATATTTGATATGGCAATCAAACTGTCATCACCGGTGTATTATTATGTTTATAATCATACAAATAAAATGTCCTTTAATACATACTTCGGACCATGTCGCACCAAATTAGGTGTAACGCATGGTGACGAAATGATAAGTATATTCTATACCCAGGGACAGGATGAATTGAATGGGGAGGATCTCAATGTATCTAAACTTATGATCGAAATATGGACTAACTTCGCTACCACTGAGTACGTATAATGGTTATTGTTAATAATTAACGTTAGTGAAAAATAATGTTTTTTAATGATGTTTAGCAAAGTCACGGTTGATGGAACGGACAATGGAAATGAATGGCCATTGATGGATTCTAAAAGTATGAAATACCTACTGATTAGTTCAAGTAAACCTGTCATATCCAAGAAACCATTCATGAAAGAGTACGAATTTTGGAATAATTTACCATTATTATCTGCATTCAAAAAGTCTGGAGAGGTTTTGAAAACTGAACTTTAATTTAAAAACAATAATATGCAAGTTAGATTATACACAACAATCTAATACAACGTGTATAAATTCATAAAAATGTGATAATGTATTAATAATAAATTATTAATATCAAGTGTTTATTATATGGGGTAAAAATGTTTAAAAAAACCCAATTGTCGGGTATTTAATTGTACATAAAAATTATTATTTAAGGTAATCTTAATTATATATTTAATATATATATATATATATATATGACTGTGTGCCATATGGTTAATTACAAGGACAGATGATGAACAGTAAATTTAATGTATGCTAAGACAATAAGAATGTTCGAAAAATTTATCAACAAATGTTTACATATAATAAATAAATAATATAAAATAAATCATAAGTACATACCATATAAAGTATTTTGTCTTTTCACCCTAATTATGATTTTGACTACAACTCTTTATGCTTGGTGTTTAGTAGTTAAATAAAATCTTATCTTAGTGTATTTGCTGAAGTGATTATCACTCGACCGTGGACTACGTAATTTAGAGATATATTTATTTTTGGCTATTGCGTTTTACTCACTGTAGATTTAAAGCCATATAAATGAAGCAAATGATTAGATCTTTATTATTTTAATTTAGTCATAAAAATTAATTATAAAAGAATATATATTACCAACCATATTGATTTTATAATATTATTACTGTGCAATGTATATACATATTCCTATTTTAATATTTTAATTTATTAAGCAGTTATGTATATATTTATACCTATGTATTTTGGGCTGTATAATTTAGAAGTATTGTCTTTAAAACACACATTGAAAACATAGGATTTTGTAAAATATGTATTTATACTGAAGCGTTGAAAATCGAAAAAATACAAAACTGTCCATATTATGTTATTAAAATAAAACCTATCCTATACATGGACGGAAGTCAATAAGAATTTCATGGGTAGCTAAGCTCTCCTCTTTTTCTGCCTATGATCCTAAATTGAACACATTTACAAAATCCTAAGACCGCACTAAAATTTTCATTATTTATAATTATAGAACAACTATTAATCAATAATAGAACAATCAATTTTATTTAAAAAATATATTTTAATCATATATTAATTGATAGCGACACAAATTCCGTCCCTGCAAATCAACAATAATTAGTAGCATTGTTCTTACGACGTACATTGCTGACAGCTTTGAAAAAATCACTACCGATTTCAGAAAAGCTTTCTACACAGTCAGTCTCGTGTAATCAATACATGAGCTATGACAATTGGGTGTTTCTATCTACCTCCTGACGTGGCTCAAATCGTATGTACCAGGAAGGAAACAATTTGTCTCTGTCTTAGGTTCCTCTTCTAAACTATTTAAAGCTACCTCTGGCTGTGGCGTACCTCTAGGTTGTCATCCGAGCCGTCTGCTTTTCTCAATTTTCGTAAATTCAATTTTCCGTTGACTCACTCAAGTCAAAGTTTTATCATTTGCAGATCATTTATCATTTGAAACGGATTCTGTTTTTGAGTGAATACATTATTTTCTTTGAATAAGTTTCATATTTAGAACTATCTCTAAACCTAGCTAAGTGTAACGTTATATTCTTTCTCCGGTACGCGCTCACATTATGTCTTGTTGTTTTCGAAATGGTTCTAGAATAACGACCTGTCAACTGTATCAAGGATTTAAGTATTACATTCTCAGAAAATCTTAGTTATACCATATATTTCGTTTAACAGAGCGCTTAAATAGGTCGTTGGAATTATTATATGCAATTATTAAACAATAATAATTAAAGCGGCAAAGATCATTACATTTTTTATGTATTTTCCTTATGCACACTTTGTTAGACTATGGTTCAAAAGTTTCGCATCCGTATTTAGCCAAAGACCAGATACGTCTTGGCTCTTGACGTGTTCAAAATTAGTTTCTGAACTTCATCTCTTTCAAAATTAACATTCAGCAACCACGTGGCTGTACTAATATAAGACAAATAGATACTCAACATTCCTACTCTAACCAGCTGTTGTGATATAGCAGACTAAAATTTATTGTCAGCAATTGTAAATGGTTCAATTGATATCCACTCTGCCATACCATTCAGAGTGCTCTTCCACTATTCACTCAATATTTGAATAATTAACGTTATATTCATTTAAATTTTTGTTTCCGTAGAGACTTGAACATGGATTCTATTAATTAAAAATGCTTTGAAGTTTCATATGTATTTCAACTTATAACATGTTTTATACTATATTCATACACTTTATCTCATATTCGTAATTTAATCAAGTTAAACTGCAGCTTGGCTTTAAAAACAAAGTAAGATAATATCATAGCCGAAATACAGAGAACAAACATATGAAATACGTAGGTCAAACGGCAAATCATGAGTAATAATTAGGTAAGATACTATTTCAATATTTTTTAATATGTATTATTTAATTCGTAGGGCAACGTTAGAAATTATTGTAATCTTAAATGTTTTTTTTATAGTTTTATACCTATAATATACAATAGCTATTTATTATTGCAAACAATTTACACTTTACAGTAGAGAGTAAACAATTATAGGCAATAATCGTGTTTATAATCTTCGCCATTACATAACCTATTTTTTTTTTACTTAGTACCTAGACCTATTTATGTCGTATTTCTATGAGGTAACATTTTATTTCCACGTTTTTGCATGAGTCAAAATTATTTGTTATTTAATTTATTTTGTTTCTGAATAACCAAATAGCTTATTATATCGTGTGCGCTGTGCAATGTAACAACATAATATTGTACAGGAATTTTCTTTAAATATAAAATAATATACCATTTTATATTTTCGTTTTCATACTTTCAGAATAAGAATAATATCGAATATTATGCTAAAATATTAAATGTTTGTACAACATAGATAATATTTAAATAGTTTTTGTTAGTTTAGTTGTTGTATAGTATTTTAATTTTATAAATTCAAGATTTATCAAAAATGCCTTATGAAAGTAACAATAATTTATTTTAATTTTGCAGCTTTGTTTGATTTTGTAATTTTTATTATTTGTATATCAATTATCAATTACAATGGAAATATTTGGTATTCTTATGCTACTGGTCGGACTCGTATATGGTACGGATAATATTTTGAATTTAAGTCAAGGAAAGATAAAAGGCAGTATTTTAAATTCAAGAAATGGACGGGAATTTATAGCATTCCATGGAATTCCCTATGCCAAATCACCGACTGGAGACCTTAGATTACAAGTATTTAAAGCGAACATCTACGTCACACAATTTTAAATTTATTTTGAGTTCACTTCATAGTTAATTATAATAAGTGTGATTTTCTTTTTTTAAGGATCCAGTAGAAGCTGATTCATGGAGTGGTATTTTAGATGCAACCGAGGAAAAACCAATGTGCATTCAAAAGAATTTGTTCTTGTATGAAACATATGATAAGCTTTTAGGTGCTGAGGATTGTTTATACATAAATGTATACACTCCTAAGGTAATTGGATTAATTTGAAAAAAAAACATTCTGAAAATATTGCTGTGCGTAAAATCTATTTTGTGTGATTTCGTTTTATTATTATAATTTATAGGTCCATAATAATGATCAAAAGGAATTGCTACCAGTTATGGTTTGGATCCCAGGTGGAGGTTTTAGTGCAGGACATGGAGGTTTGAGTTTATATGGCCCTCACTATTTGCTGGACAAGGATGTCGTTGTTGCTTCATTCAATTATAGAGTTGGACCTCTAGGTAAGCTATTGATATACTCAAAGATAACTTGCTTTTTTTTTGACGGGTGTGAACTATTTGTCATTATACTGCCACCTTGAACCGTATGGTTTATTCGACAATTATATACATAGATTTACAGAGAAAGATATACATTCAAGTGCCTCTAAACACCCTATACAATTGGCTTTTTAAGAACATATTAAACTACTAGGGCAAGCTCTCTAGTAGGAGAGCATTGTCCGATGTCCATCACCATCTTTCTTGAGTTTGCCTCTCCCGATTTGTAGCACTTCCACTCCAGCTATTAGCATCCTGTTAAACGCCAGCCTCTAATTTTCCACTGTTATCTCAAACCGTCACCTCATCGATATTTTTTCCGAGAGGAGTTCCTCGGTATTCTCCAGGTAATCGGAGTAATTATAACATTCTATTTTACATTAAGTGCTGGCAGGGTTGGGCAGTATCTTCAATACAAGTTTTGTAGGTACAATTGTATCTTGTATCTTATATCTCGATATAATTATATGAAGTATCAAATATCTTGTAACTCGATACATTTTCTATTAATATACAATGTATCGAGTGTTTCATAAGATAATTTAATCGAAAAATACTCGATACATTAATGCGATATTTATAAAAATTAATTGTTTACAATTATTTTCACTCGCCTACCTAGTAATAGTATATACCAACCACGACTGTTCGACTATGTTTTAGTATAACATCTGTATTTAGATTTAAATTAATGTATACCATAATTTAATTGCAGTATTAATTAATTTCAAATTATCAACAATTCTGATTTGTACTACCATTATTAATTTTATTTTGCTAATACAAATACAAATACGCAGTTACAGTCCACAGATGATTTTTCAAAAACTGTAGCCCACAACTTTAAAGAAATTATTTTTCAACCCATTAGCCATATTTAGTTATATCTGTGGACTGTGAACACCACACATGCATTGTGAAAGGGACTTTACATCTTTACTGAAGGTAACTTTATTGCTATTTAGCTATATTAGATATCCGTAATCTGTACGACATACTACATAATGCATTACTGCATTAGTGCATCGTACATGTATAGTATACATTGTATAGTCTACCTTTCGATGGCGTTAAAGTATGTAATGAACATGATAAGGTTAGTAGATACTATGGATACGTACGATAAGTATTTTTTATACAAACACTGCAGGCTACACAGAAATTATACTGATCACTATCACTATATTACTTGATACACTCTCACTACACGTTTAATAATTAGTAGTATTAATAGTATTAAAAATTTACACATGAATAATAATTAATTGCATAGAATATTTTTATTAAACTATTCAATTTGCGGTTTATATTAACTCTTTAATATACATATACCTAATTGTACATAAACAGCATTTTTGAAAAACCTGTGACTAATTTTATTTCAAGTATTGAGTATCTAGTATTGTGATATTGATTTTTGGACATCTTGCCAGTCCCTGAGTTCTGATAGCACCCATGTCTCAATAAGATCTAGGCGATGTGCAAAAAAAGCAAATTTGGGCCTTCATTGGTTTATCCACTTCGGATACCCCGAATTATAGTCCGAAACTTATACTTCTTACTCCTATTTATTATTACTTATGTTTAATATCAAGAATAGTAATACAACTATTATATTTTTAATATTAAGGGTTTTTGAGTACCGAAGATGAAATTTTACCTGGCAATTATGGTATGAAAGACCAAGTTTTAGCATTGAAATGGGTAAAAAATAATATTGAAAAGTTTGGAGGAGATCCGAATAAAGTAACCATATTTGGGGAAAGTGCTGGAGGAGTCAGTGTTGGTTTACATTTATTATCACCACTAAGCAAAGGTTAACGCATAATTTGGTCACATAATTCAAATTTTAATTGGGTAGGTACTATTAATTACCTATTGTTTTGAATGTATTTTTAGGATTATTTCATAAAGCAATACTGGAAAGTGGGACTCCATTGTGCCGATGGGGTGTATCTCCACCAGGATTGGCTAAACGTAGAGCCTCATCATTTTCTACTATTTCTGGATGTCCTGAAGACCCAAAACAGTTGGCTAATTGTTTGAGGAATATGCCCGCAGAACTATTAGTGAATCTTCACTACAATTTTTTTGTGAGTACTTACATATGACATTTTTCTTTTATTTACATATATAGGTTTGAATTTATTGCTTTGGTTCTATAAAATGAGGGGAAAAAAAGGAATATCATCTTTACAGTTTACACAAATTAATGTGCTATATTGCCTATAATACACACAATTTAGGAGAGTAATCGATTGTTTCAGTTACTAATACGTTTATAAATATTGAAATATATATTTTATATAAATATGCGTACAATCATATTCATACCAATACATGCATGGTTTTTATAGGAATGGAAAGTGTTCCCGGCAATCACGTTCATGCCTGTTGTCGAAAACTGTGAAAATAAAACAGGGTTTTTATGTAATTATCCATTGATTGACTTTAAACAGGAATCCAATGTTCCAATTTTAATGGGCATGACCTCCGGAGAAGGTGGTATTTTTGCTGCTCGTGAGTTATTCTTATTTTGTATGCTTAATGAACTTTAAAATGATAACATTATTTTTAACTATGATTTACACCCCACGAAAAAAAAAATGTCAATGAAAATAAAAAAATTTAAGTGGCATTACATATTTCAACTTTTTAAGTAAGTAGTCTTATTGTTAATTATCTGTTAGAAATTAATATCAGCAAAATAAGTTAAATTAAATGCAAGGAAATACATATAGTTTAGTTTTATAAACATAGTGTGTGTTAGTGTAAGTGTTAAATGTACCTTTTAACTTCGGACCATGTTATAAAACCTTTAGATTTGTTGACTTGACATATTAATTGGTTAAACAAATTAAATAAGTTCTTATACGTAGTACAAACATGTTTATGTTGAATTTAGTGATTTTGTAATTTTGTTTGTATATAAGATTTTAAATAAAAAATATTATTTTGGTAATGGTGAAAAAATAATAAAAAAACATATTTATTTGCATATTTTGTTTTAGGTGTTTATAATGAAAATTGTGAGGTTGACATTGAATTAAAGAATAATTTTGATCATTATATTTCATCTTTACTTATTTATAAGTACACTGCAAAGATGTCCGATCTTCCGAAAATTAGTAAAAAGATACATAATCGTTACTTTAGTAAAGGAAATATGGACGATCCTTTAGAAACTGTTAAAGTTAGTAGACTGAATTACTTAATAATGTATTAAATTTAAATTGAGTACACACAATAACATGTTATTGAAAAATACATTACCTAATTAAACGTGTAATCCATTTTATGTTTTTTTTCAGATGGTTAGTGGTGGAATTTTTTTACCGGGAATATTTGATATGGCAATCAAACTATCATCACCGGTTCATTATTACATTTATGACCATGTAAACGAAGTGTCATTTAATTCATATTTCGGCCCATGCCCCACCAAATTAGGAGTAGGGCATGGAGACGATTTGAGAAGTCTTTTCTTTATGGATGGCCAGGCCGAATTGAAAGGGGAGGATCTCAATGTATCTAAACTTATGATCGACATATGGACTAGTTTCGCTATCACTGAGTGCGTAATGTTTATTGTTAATAATTAACATCGTTAAAAAATTTTGTTTTTGCTATTTAGCAAACTCACGATTGATGGAACTGACAATGGAAAAGAATGGCCGTTGATGGATTTAAAAAGTATGAAATATGTGTTGATTAATTCAAGTAAACCCATCATATCCAAGAGACCATTCCTTCGCGAGTACCAATTTTGGAAGCGTTTACCATTATTATCTGCAGTTAAAAAGTCGGGAAAAGTTTTAATAACTGAACTTTGATTTAAAAATATTCATATACAAATGTATACACGAACAACATTGATTGTAATAAAATGTATATAAACTCATGAAAATGTTTTAACTTATTCTAGATTATTAATACATTGTATTTTTATTCTATGAGGTAAAAATGTAAAACAAAATCCAATTGACAGGGATATAATGTTATAAAAAAATGTTTATTTAAAATTATCTTCATTATTTACCAAATATCAATATAATATGGTTCGTTATAAGGGCAGATGATGACATTTTTTTTTTATTCAATGAATGATGAGACGAAAAACTAAGTTTGAAAGATTGATCTATACATGTACACATTATTATGTCAGTAGAAAACCATTTAATTAATTAATTAATTAACCAATTAATGCATTTGAGCTATTAATAAATAAGGTGGGTGTACCTTCTCTAGTTATGATTTTGGGCACAATTCACACGAGTGCTTATCTTTATACTATTTGTTTTTTTGTAATTAAAATAAATCTTATCTTAACGTATAACTGAAGTAACCACACTTACGCAATTTACTGATTCATTTATATTTATGTAGCGACGTAGCGTATTACTCAAGCCACTCTACATAAGGATCAGGTGTTTGGATTTTTAATATTTACCTTAATTTATTCGTACAAATTATTTAAACAAAAAATTATATTATCAACCTAATTGTTTTTATAATATTTTATGATGTTATTACTGTATAATGGCCTTATACTCATCTTTCGGTGATATATACCTCTATAGATACTTAGTCACCAAGAGACCATAAATTAACCGGTTACCTACAATTTGGCTCTCAATAAGTCGGTATTGCTATCTTACTGTAGTGTATAAGTTAGTACAACTGCGCTACCTATATATGTACTCCAAACGGTTAGTCAATTTTAGGTTATTAAGCTATTGCATTAATGTTATACTAATATACACAATTTTGTGTGTACTATGTTATTGTGGCTTATGCTAAAGGAACAACATGTATTTTTGTATTAAGTGCTTATAATAAAGTGAATTGTATAGTTAACCAATGTGTTTTTATTTGATTTAATAAACAATATGGAAACACTACACTTGCAGTTGAGACTTTCAACCCTAAACGACCATAAACGATCATAAATTAATCGGTTACAGATTGAGATTCAAGGAGTTAGTACGGTAGAATTGTGTGGCTACTCAAACAAAGCAGATAATTTTACTGGTCGGAAACACTTTTATTCAAAACATAAAACAAATCCCTAAAAACAGAGAGTGCCTATAAGAGGTATACATAACGTGACCATACGTCCCGATTTAAGACATCAAACACATAAAAAATATTCGAGTTCATAAAGAAAAAAATAGCAAAACATATAAACTAGACCTTGGTATATGATCCATTTTTCCTGAAGCTCTATAGAGCTATGGTTAAAATATAATTAACAAGACTCTGAAAACCTTCACTGATATATTTACCTGTGTATAACAAGTTCTCCAACCCCTTTACAACAAATAATATTATTAAAGAAGGAAGCCTTGATGACGTGACAATTGGCTCGTCTTACATAGTATAGGTACTTAAATAATTTAAATTAAATAGTACAATCCAATATTTTTTTTTTTAAATAAAAATACATTTTTGATTGATTCTTTGTCGGGGCCCAGTGCGTCATGAAGGTGCTCAGGTAGATTGTATTTTTGTTGGACCTTTTGCGTGTCTCTTTTATTCAGTAATGATGTGTTTGATTGAGGTTGAATATCCACATGTAAGACATACCCTTGGCGGTCCTTTTTTCATTAGATGGCCGTGTATGTAGTGTGTACGACCTATTCTGAGATGATTTAATACAATTTAGTCACTTATTTTGTGGGACATTGAGTTATTTCATTTTTCTGTTGTTCTTTTTATTTCGTTTAATATAGTGTTCATTTTTAGCCATTCGTTTTGCCGTTTATTTTCAACTTGGTTGTTGATCAATTTTTATATCTTTGTTTGGTTTTATATTCTAGAGAGTTCGTTGATGTGAGAGTTATTGACTTTTTATTTGGAAGTATGTCCGCTCTTTGTATTTTGAATTATCTTTTATAAATACTTAATTTTAATAATATTATTTATCACTAATATTGACTTATTAAATATTTTGATACTTTGGCCAATCTGCAGTTATTCGTGTTACATTATCATTGTTGAGGATTATAATCTTATATTATATATTATATAACACGAATTTATGGTCACTCACAGGCACGTATCCAGATCAAAGATTTGAGGGGAGGGGTCACAATTGTTGGTAATGTAAAATTACAATACTGAAATCACTGTCCACCTCGAACTAAGATAGTACTATCTAAGTTTGTGCACCCCAGAATGATACGTATAGTATAATATAATATTATCAGACGTAAATGTAATTTAAAATATAGTTATGTCAGGTTCTGTAGAATTATTTGAAAAATTTGGGAAATAATGTGTCCGGGGGAAGGTCCTGAGCCAATCGGCCCCCCTTGATCCGCTCCTGGTCACTCGTGCATAAACCAACGATAATCAAGTATCTATGTAAATTGTAAAATATATTATAACTATATTATTTATTTATTTAAATAGTGTTTACGAAGTAAGCCTCAAGAACATTATTATTGTGAACTCAGATAGCGTTTGTTGGATGTAGAGGGTGACATGCATATAGCTTGAAGATTACAGATGTTAATTAAATATAATTGGACAGGTAGACAGGATTTAGTATTGGAATATAAATTCTTATTATATGTTTTTCATTTACACAGGTACCACCGAATTTTATAGAAGTTGATTGCGCATTTTAGTTAACTACGGCTTTTCTTTGATATATGGAAAACAAATATCAGTCAGAGCATCATTCAAATATTTGTCTGTATTTATATAGAATTTTAAACAAAAGTACCTATAGATAATTATTACTAAATTGTTATTAATAGAATTTACCATTTATTTATTTATTTATTTTTTATTTATATAGCTTTAAGAAACAATTAATGATTGACCATTTATAATTCAACGGTTTTAGTTTTATTATCAAATGTATTGTAAAATATTAATCATAGTCTTAAAAAAATACTAAATTATCAAAAAATATTAATTTAAAAGAAATGTACATTTTGCATTTTTCCGATATTAATTTTTATAGGTATTATATTTAATTAATATTTCTTAATTCCAGCTAAATATACAACTATGTGGTATATTTACTTTACTTATTATTCTGTTTTGTATTTGGAGCGGAAAATTAAAAGTGGATCACCATTAAACCTTTGGGGTGTATCTACACCAGGATGGACGAAACGAAGGGCATCTGCCATTTCAACTATTGCTGGATGTCCCGAAGAGCTAAAACAAATGATTAAATGTTTAAAAGAAGTCCCTGCTAAATTTTTGGTGAATGTATATAACATTTTATTTGTAAGTAATTTTTTTTTTACTTGTAAAAAGAAAAACCGAATACAGGTACCTTGTTCTGGGCCACGTAATATAAAATATATATGGACTATGTATTATGTTTGTTGGTTCAATTAAGACGTAATCAGAAAGTAACAAAACATATTTTATCGGTGGGATCATTTTATTGTAACAAAAAAAAAAAAAAAATAATGTACATTCGATTTTCCTAATTAAATACTTGCAGGTGTATTACAAATTATAGTAACAGTCCATTTTGATTGGATTTTTCTTATGAATTTATTTAAACAATAAAATATAATATTTAAAAAAAATGTGTCATATAATTGCGCCCATTAGAAAAATTTTAAAGGTTTTCTAAATATTTTCATTTATCTTATCGGGAGTGGAGAAATTACCCGATTATAAGTGTAATGCCTGTTGCTGAAAAATGTAATTGTTCAAAAGAATCATTATTGTGTGATTATCCTTTACTTTGCTTTAAACAAATAACAAAAGTTCTTGTATTAATGGGAATGAATTCTAGAGATGTTGGAATTTTTGCTTCTCGTGGGTAATAATATATGTTTAAATCTAACATGTTGAGCAAAACTAATGATAATTAAGAATTTTATTTTAAGTTGTCAACATAAATTAGTGATTAAATTAGTGAGAATTCAAATGTATTTATATTATAGGAATAAACAAATTGTAGTTCTTTTTTATTTTTGAATAGGAATGAACAACGCGACTCATCTTGTGTACACAGAGTTTTTAGAAGATTTCAATCATTACACGTCATCGTTTTTACAGTATAGATATACTGTAAAATTTTCAGATATTCCATTTATTGGTGACGAGATAAATACACGATATTTTTCTAATGGGAAATTGGAAGATCCTTTGAGTGCTATAAAAGTAAAAATTGAATATATTCAATGTGTATAATATATAATTATGTTTATACAAACAAGTGCCTTGTCATAATTATTTCCTTGTTTTTGACACAAAGCTTTAGGAAATCAATCAATTTTAAATGTTTATAGATGATTACCGGTGGTCTATTTTTACACGGTATTTTTCAAATGGCCACCAAGCTATCACAATCAGTTTACTATTACATTTATTATTATTCGAATGCATTTTTATTCAATTCTTTATATAGGCCATATCCATTTCCAACAAAATTAGGTGTAACGTACGCTGACGAAGTAACAAGCTTCTTTTCTACATCCGATCGGTCAGACTTACCGGGAAATGATTTCAACGTATCAAATTGTATGGTGAAAATATGGACCAATTTTGCTACAAAAGAGTACGTTACCTATACTGTTTATTGAGAAATCAAGAGTGCTTCGGTTTTTTTTAAACATTTTAAACTTTATTTAGTGTTTCCACTATTGATGGCTTCGAATAGCACATTTTTATCAACTAATACATTATTATACTTTTATAACCATGGTGAGAATGTTAATGAAAATAAATAACTGAAGTTAATTAAGTTAAGTCAACATTCAGAACATTAGGTTATATCTTTATAAGTTAAAGGTCACCAAATAATATATTCTGGAACATTGAAAAATTAATGACACAGCGGGGTTTTATTTACCACCTGAGTTACAAGTCTGTGATTTTAGTGCTACTTTTAAAAGTTTTCTTATGTAGTTATTTCTTATTGTACACTTTAGAGGTTTAGGGCTCTATCCAATTATATAATATGCTCATAGGCGCAATATCAGTTTTTGAGTTGGAGAGAATTTACACATTTAAAAGAGACAGACCATGTGGGTTGCTGTATATGCTCCTATACCCTCTAGGCCAGGTTACCTGCTTAACCAGTATTTATTAAACTTTTTTAACCGTGGCACACTTTTTTATGTGCACTCTTATCATAGAACTCCAACTTTTTTTTTAGCTTTTTAGCTTTTTAAGTTTAGCTTACAGAATGACAATTTAAATCACTATTTTGTTTCCATATATTTATGAAGCGTAGTTTTATGTAAGTATTATTTTCAATAAAAGTTATAATAGTGTGATAAAATTTAAAATTTTGAAAAAAGCACAAGTTTTGGGAAATCCCCAAGTGACTTTCTTGGAACTTGGGACTCTAGTGTTAGAGAAACGCTGCTTTAGGCAAATACCTTTAAAATATAGGTATTACTTTATGTTACCTATATAATGTAGGTAACATAATATATTTATCATTGTTTTTCTCACCCACTTTCCTAAATTTAATATATAATAATACACCTACCTATAACTTAAATGAAAAATATTTTTACTAAAACAAATTACAAAATTTAGATACGTCTACATATATATATATATATCAATAATTATGACCGTCGACTCTAAATTTCAAATGTATAAAAAAAAACACTACTTACTTAATTAGTATCGACTATATCCTAAAAAAATTGAAATTATATTAGTTATGTATTATAAATTGTGATGACGGATTTGAAATATTATTATTAAGTCTATATTATTATGTTCTGTGTCTTGATCCGATATCTAGAAAACACACAAATGATGAATCGTGGTTTAAAGTTAAGAAAATAATTTCTTCAAAAAACGTTTACTGAATTATGTAGATTAGGTAGGTACTTAATGCAGCATTTAATACTTCAATTAAAATATAAATGTTTGAACGGGGTAAGTCCCTTCAAAACAATTTCCCTTCAATTGCGCCTATGATTATGTTTACCTGATTGTTTTTACAATATTACTAAAGTGAAATATATTCCTCTAACCTAACCATTGTCATTGAGTTGTATAACTAAGATTTGAATTTAATGTAGGTACCTATTATATTTAAAACTAGCTGAATTAAGTTAGGAAATTAACTAAAAATAAAAAACGGGTAAGGGGGTGACGCTCTGCTGTACATTAGGTGTCTATTAAGTCATTGTCACGGGTGTCTTAAATTTGAATTTAATGGTATAAAACTACTGTACACAAACAACGATTTTGAGAGAAGACCTATAATATTTCTAAGTAGGTATATTTTATGATATTATAACTGTATTAGGTTAGCCAGTTAATATTTTTAAACTGATATTTTAACAGTGTGCCTCTTATTAGTTGCCTCTCATTTTCAGTTTTTTGACCCAATGAATAAATTATATAAATATAATTTTATTGACATTTAAAGAAACAAAACTAAATACTTGAAAATTGAAATTATTCTGTAAACAGCTCAAAACAAGTCAAAGTATTTTGAAAATGTTATTTCAAGAAAATAAGAAAATTGCTCTATAGCAAATCAAGTGAACATCCTATTTATAAACATTTGAACTTCAAACGCTCATAAAAGTTTAATTTGACTTTTCGGTAGCCTTTTTTTTGTTTTGATAAAAGTAGATATGATTATGAGAAATCTTGTATACATTTTCGAATCTTAGATATGAAAATTAAAAATTTTATGAATTTCTAATTAACAAGCTATTCGACTCAATATGACTAGTGATGTAATTAGATACATTTCCAAGAAAAATGTTATTATTTGTTTATATTAACATTAATTACTAGGTACCACGAAAATATTAGATATTATCATTGCCTCTGTACTTTTTAATTATGTTTAAAAAAACAAAATATTTAAATCCATCCATTTTGTAGAATTTATTTTTGATTTTAAGAAATATACTTCGAAATTCAATGCATATTTATAGTTTTTACACGCTGAAGACAAAAAGTAAAATAAAGTATGCAAAGTAAAATTGTATTTTTAAATTTTGGAAATATCTTGAATATTAAATTTTTGCAATTTTACATCACTACTTATGAAATTATAGCTTACCCATTGTTTGATCCTATTTATATGACTATAGTTATCAGATGAATGGAGTTGGAGTTTAAGATTTATAAATTGTGTATTGATTGATTTGCTGCTGAAACAGTCAGGGTCAGTGATATAAGCGAATGTTTTGTTCAGTTCAAAAAAGTTTATTACGCCTTATACGAATATTAGAGATGGCAAATCTTTTTTCTCTAATGTATATATATTAGAGTGCATAAACCCCTGAGATTTTTTAACCATACACAAGTATAATATATTTTTTAACCACGTATCAGGTATTGACGATATTTAAGAACTTTTTATTGTTTTCTCTAATTGAGCCACCTTTATATTTTCTCATATTAAGCCATAACATAGGAAAAAATAATTAAGTTCAATTTTTTAGAAATATTTAAGAATTTTTTTGTTATTTTTCTGACGCTAGTGAGCCATTTAATAACAACAAATAGTGCCACAAATGGCAAGCGTGCCGCAGTTTATCCCCTGATTTACTTTATGATCCACAACTATACTAAACTATAATTACCAGATTAATTATGAGAATATAACTCAATTCATATTTGATTTATTTACTATATATTTAACTATTTAAGTTAATATTCAACATTAATAATCTTTATATATGTATTTAAATTATATATATTTTATGTTATTTAGACAATGTGAACCAAATGTAAAGATAATCACTATATCACTATAAGTATTTCTGAAACTATTATCATACTTTTTGTAATAGTTATTATTTGGATTTTTTTTTTAAATCTAACTCACCTTTATTACTACTTATCTATCAAATACTAATTAAAATATATTGGTTTTATTTATTAGGAAAGCTTATAATAACGATTGTTCTTATTATTTTGAATTATAATTTATACATACTTGGATTTAATTGAGTATTATATACTATATTGTCTAATCTTAACTTATTAGTTATTCTGATACTTTGGCCATTTTGAAGTAATCCGTGTGACATCATTGGTGAGGATTATAATATAATGTTAAATCATTTATACATAAACCCGCATAAACCAACTACAATCAAGTACGTATGTAAATTGTAAAATATGTCTACTGTCTAGGCATCTATTACAGTGGTCCTCAACCTTTTTTGTTTTATGTCACCCTTAGCCACTATTATCAAACACTAATTTATCAACATAACATAAAAATATTAGACAATTGAAATTGCATATTTTAAAGGAAAATTCTAGTGATTATAATTGTATTTAAAAAAAATACAGAGCGAAGAAAAATAATAATTATACACTTTATTTGAGTTCAAGGTTTAATAAACACTTCAAATTGGCAAACTAAAAAAAACAAGAATATTGAAAAACAATAATGAATGTTAAGTATTATAATATGATTATAGTACTATGTTGTTCCATTATTGGAACGTTGCTGGTAATAGTACGAATTAATCGAAAAATGAATAATTCTCTTATTTTTTTCCTTTTCTCGTGGATATTTTATGCCACCCCTATGCTGGATCCATGTCACCCTGGCTGAGAACCACTGATCTATTGTGTTTACTGAAAATATTTGTTATTTATTTAAATAGTGTCAATTACTAAGATATCGTTTGATGCATAGATATGGTGATTTGCCTATAGCTTGAAGACCAGGTGTGTTAACTCATTTCAATTGGACAGGTAGATAGGATTTCGCATAAGCACATCAAGTTTTACTATATTTTTTCATTTACTTTTCTGGTAGTCGATTTCGCATTATAGTCACCTATGGTTTTAATTTGATATATGACATTCAAATACCTGTTAGAGCATAGTCGAAATGTTTGTAATATTTAATTAACATTTTAAACAAAGTAGTATCTATCTATAACTATTACACGCCTACCGATTTTTTTTTAATCAACTGTTTTGTTTTTATTCGTTAAAGATTTTAATTTAACACTAATTGAACATATTTTCAACTATTTGAGTTTTATTTTAAAGTATATTCAATATTGTTGAATAATGATTATTCTATTAAGTCTTAGTCTAATATCAAAAATGTAGTTTAAAAGTAATTCTGTTTTTGAATTTGGCCGATATTAATATTTATAGTTTTGAACCACCTATTTGAGAAACGACGTAAGTCCATAAAAGGTAATTCTGAAAAAACAAGAAAAAACTGTTCATACCAATGATACATAGTTATTTTTCTTTCATACTAATTATTTACAGTGGTAAAATTAAATATTTTTTTTTTGCAAATGTTCACACATGATCAACTATCATTTGATACCACATTCCACTCAATATCTCGATTTTTGATATTTTGTGACTTACGTCGTTTTTAATTTTAGTAAAATATGCAACTTTTGGTGCATTAATTATTTGTTCTCGTATTTTGTACATGTAGTAATAATATACGTATAATTTAAAATTTATACTTACCTCTACAAAACAATGAATACTAATTTTAGTAATAATATACATTTCTATGAATTACGAATTAACTTATTATAGTGGCTTAAGTTTTTATTATAAATTATAAGAGTTGTCTCTATCTCATTCAAACATTAAGTTTAAACTAAAACATTACATTATTATTTTTGATCAGAAATTCTCTATTTATAAATTTAAAATAATAATAGTTCTAAAATATAATTTTTTTAGTTCCAGTGAAGTATGGAAATATTTATTATTTTAACACTACTTTTCGGTTTTGTATTTGGAGCGGATGACGTGTTACAATTAGACCAAGGAAAATTGACTGGTAGTAGTTTGAGGTCGAGAAATGGACGAGAATTCAAAGCTTTTCAGGGAATACCCTATGCCAAATCGCCTACTGGAGATCTTAGGTTTAAGGTAAATTATACTTTTATGCATGGCTGGTTAAGTTATCTAATATTTTTTAGCTCAGTAAGTTATTTATTATAGAACAATTTAATTTAAATTCATAATTTAAAAAAGTCATTTTTTAAAATAATAATACAATTATTTTTTTTATTTTTAGAAAAGATATATAATAATGACAACTATTGGGTACACAAAAGAGTATGTAATTCTGGATTTAATAGTAATATTTTTATTTCCCCAAACTTGGTTATCCCTATAGGGAACAACTGTTATGTCCTAATTTTGTCTTAATACCTTTTATATTATGTGAATATGTAATTATATTATTATTTATTATTTATAAGTTACAACGTATTACTATTTAGTTTTCATTACAAACATATAATTTACTTTCTCATTTTATACCCATTTTGTATACATTTGTATTTATAATTTATATCCCTAAGTTTATTGATCATTACTATAAAAGTATAGACTATAGAGAGTCCAGAAATAGTGTGGAGCACTTTGACAGTGAAATTTAGTAGTCACCTATTTAAAATACTACATACTTATACTTATACTAATACTTATACGATTTATAGTATAAAAGTATAACCTATAAATAATATTTAATATTTTCAATTAACAAAATGTACAAGAAGTATATGAGGTTTTATATAAGGAAAAAAATTTACTTCACGAGACAATACAATTAATTACTCTTAAGTTACTGCATAACATGGATATCTTAGATTTAAGGTAAAACATACATTTTTAATAGATGCCTAATACCTAAATATTTATTATATAATGGCTACATACTTTAAATAATGTTTTTAGTAGATGACAGTGTTTCAGTGGCTAGTAATAAATATCAGTATTTTTTTAGTAGTAGGAACATTTAATCTACATATAACCACATTCACTAATAATCGTTAAAAACTTGTAACTTATTATACTTTGTAAACTATTATCCATACTAAACTTCTTAAAACAATTCTACCAAAATGTCATTAAATGCAACTCAGATAATTGTTATTAGGATCCAGTGCCAGCGGACCCGTGGATAGGTATTTTAAATGCTACAACTGAGCCACAACCATGTATTCAGAAGAATTTGTTTCATTATCAGAAAGTGGATATCCTTGTCGGTGCAGAGGACTGTCTATATATCAATGTGTACACTCCAAAAGTAATCAAATAACATAAAATACATTACAGTTTTAATAAAAAAAAATGATTAAATAAGTCTATTCGTAACGAAAAGTACCTAATTGATTAGTTGATAAAATATTGAATATCGTGTTATTGAAAAACGAAAATGTTGTTAAATATTATTTTATGATATTTATAGATACCAAAAACAGATGATCCAGAATTACTTCCAGTTATGATTCGGATTCCCGGTGGAGGGTATTTCGCAGGTTCAGGGGGTTTAAGTTCAAATGGCCCTCATTTTTTGTTGGATAAGGATGTAGTTATAGTTAGCTTTAATTACAGAATTGGAATTCTTGGTACGTTATTTATTTAAGTAACTATATATAATATTATTTATTTAATATTTATTTCCAATTATTAATCTTAGGATTTTTAAGTACTGAAAACGATGATTTGCCTGGTAATTATGGTATGAAAGACCAAGTGTTAGCACTAAAATGGGTCCAAAAAAATATTAATAAATTTGGTGGAGATCCAAAAAAAGTTACATTATTTGGACAAAGTGCTGGAAGTGCTAGTATTGCCTTACATTTGTTATCACCAATGAGTAAAGGTAAATACAAATACCTAAAAAATATCAAAATAATATTATGTAGGTTTATTTTATATTACATGTTATAGGTTTGTTTCACAAAGCAATCATGGAAAGTGGATCATCATTAAACCTTTGGAGTGTGTCTCCACCGGGATGGGCAAAACGCAGAGCTTTTACTATTTCAACTATTGCTGGGTGCCCTCAAGAACCAAAACAAATGATTGAATGTTTGAAAGAACTTCCTGCAAAAGTATTAGTGAATCTATATAACAATTTATTTGTAAGTATAATTTTTCTACTTTTAAATATAAACTAAAATGTTTCTATGTTTTACATATGCTTGATCTTCATCAACACCTTATATTTCTTTACTATGAATTGAAATATAATAAGTATACTTGTTATTAAATCATTTTTAAATGAATTATATTTAAAGTATATTATTTTTATTTTTGATATTAATTATATGATTTTACTTTTTAATTTGGGTTATTTGTATTACTATAAAATGACGATATTTATATTCTTATTTGATAAATTCTACTTAAGATTTTAAACAGGTTTTACACCATATTTTGTCGTTTAAGGCCCTTTTCAGCAGAAAAAATATTTTAACCTTCAATATTGTAGAGTGTGGTTTTTGATATAAATTAATATCAACTTTATAACTAGTGGAGCCAAATGTGAAAAAGGGTAACTGTCACAGTGTCACCTATGCTGTGCAGTAGGACGTGTTGAATGTGATTCAGCATCGAGTATTTACTGATATTTTAAATTTGAAGTCAATGTAATATTAGCGTATGAACAACGATTTTGAGCGAATACTGTCAGCCAATATTATTAAATATATTAAGAATTAAATTAAATTAATATTTGTAATTTATTTTGCTATTTGTTTAATAGTGTATTACCAATAGACAATGGTAAGTTGAACTAATTTATTCTAAAACTAAATAATACTTAATATAATATGATGTATTATAATTTATAAAGTTATATAGTGGTGTACCTTTGCTAAAAGCTTGGAGAGGGGGCAAAATAACATTGCTACCTAATTTTATCATGAATTATGGTTCTTGATAAAAATAGTTTAAAATTACAATCAATATCCTGAAAACTCCATTATGTACAGAAAAAAGTAAAAACATAATTAACGTTAAGTTCTAGAGCAAGCGAATTACAAAATTATCAATTAACTAAAATCGTTTAGCTGGTCCGCACGCGGTCGCGGTTTATATCCGGCCCGGATTTTCTTTAAAAATTAAACACCTATATTTAAATAGGTATATTCAAACGAAGTAAAATGGCAAGCGGACGACCGCCTGGGATCGCGCTTGTTCAATTTTCGCGCGGTCAACCGCATCCGCTAGCCAAAATAAACTGTGGATTTCCAATAGGATTCATACGAGGCAGATCGTCCGCTAACCACCGCGATTTTTTTCCAGCTTACTTGCCATTCATAATCCGCTTCGTATAAATTGGACTTGTTAGCGGCCGAAATCCATGTCCACTCGCGGGCGATCCGCTCCGTGTGTAACCAGCTTTATAGTTAGTTTGTCTGCTGTTTGAGCTTCAACAGTTTAAAAAATAATAAAAATAAAAAAAATTCTAAATATTCTTAAATAGTTTTAAATTAGTCGTAATATTTAAACAAATTTATCATTGTGTATAGAAAAAGAAAATACAAATAATAATGAAAAGTTTTATGTTTTTTAAGTCAATATTATTGATTTCATGATATAATAATAAAATTCGTATGATGATAAAATCGTTATTAAAGTTTAAATATCCAAATTGTTATTATTTGAAATTTAGGTTCATATACAAAATATATATGTGGCCTTATCTCAAGCTATTTTTAAAATTTCTAGTGAAGATGAATGGATACACTCATCAAAGGTTACCAATAATTATTAAGTGGGAGGCTTTTTGAAAATAAAGGGAAAAGGACAGAGTAGAAGAAAATGGTTGATTCGTTATTTTATATTTTTGAGTGAAATTAATACTTGAATGAATTAAGTAAATATTTTGGGGAAATTGGCCGTGCTGAATTTTTTAGTGGTTTTTACTTCTTGATTTATTCAAACAATGAAAAATATATAGAGACACAAATATTTAGACAATGTACACAATTCAGTAAAATTGTGTACACAATACATATTCGAATTATTTGTATTTATTTTTACAGGAATGGAGATGTTTCCCGTTTAGAAATTTGATGCCTGTTCTTGAAAATAGTACAAGTAATAAAGAATCATTTTTGTATGATTATCCTTTGCTTCACTTTAACCAAATAACAAAAGTTCCAATATTGATGGGAATGAATTCCGGAGAGGGTGGTATTTATGCATCTCGTGAGTTATAATAATGTAAAGAGTTGATGATAGTTCTCCAAGAAAATAAAAATGTATACGTTTTATGTTTATATTTTGAACAGGAATGTACAACGCAACTAATCTTGTGTACACAGAGTTTTTAGAAGATTTCAATCATTACATGTCATCGTTTTTACAGTATAGATATACTGCAAAATATTCAGATATTCCATTTATTGGTGACGAGATTAATAAACGATATTTTTCTAATGGGAAATTGGAAGATCCTTTGAGTGCTGTAAAAGTAAGTATTGAATATATACAGTGTGTGTAGTAAAATAATGTTAATATAAACAAGTTGCTTGTCATAATTACTTGTTTTTGACACAAAGCTTTAGGAAATTAATTAATTTTAAATGTTTAAAGATGATTACCGGCGGTCTATTTTTACACGGTATTTTTCAAATGGCCACCAAGCTATCACAACCAGTTTACTATTACATTTATAATCATTCGAATGCATTTTCATTCAATTCTTTATATGGGCCATATCCATTTCCAAGAAAATTAGGTGTAACGCACACCGATGAAGTGACAAGCCTATTCTATTCTGCCAGTCGGGGTGACTTAGAGGGAGAGGACCTTGATGTATCATATCTGATGGTGGACATATTTACACATTTCGCAACGTGCGAGTACGTTATTATGATTGTGTGATTGTAACTTATAAGTGTACACAATTAATCGTATAACTTAATAAAACTTTAACATTTTGATTTAGCAACATCACCACTGACGGTAAAGTAAATGGAGAAAAATGGCCGACATTCGATACAGAAAAATACGAATTTGTTTATATTAATAGCAGTATTCCCTCGATTAAAAAGAATCCATATGTTGACGAGTATGAGTTTTGGAATAGTTTGCCACTTTTATCTGGATTGAACGAAGAACAAGGATCGGTTGAAAATTAAATATGATTATTTATTCTGAAATGTATAAGCTATTAGCTAAACATATACTTGGATTTTACGTAAGTTTTTATTTACTCGGGGAACAAAAATGTATTAATCATGAATAACTAATTTATTGTTATTTAATTATAAATATTTTTTATGTAATCAATGTTTGAGAGAGACAAAATAAATATCTACAATAATAGTGTTGATTAGTTATTGCTACATCTAAAAAAGAAGGACGCTTATAGATTTCAAAATTTAATTTTTAACCATATTTTAGTGTCGAGCCATGTATTTATTATTTTTACTAATAAACCAAATTTGATTATTTTTTATAATCAAAAGTAACTCAAACATGTGTTTTATTATCCTAGAAATGACTAATAATAGAATTAGAGCCTTATTTGCTTCAAATTAAATGTCTGACTTTGGTATTAAAAAATAGCAGATATGCAATAAGTGCGATTTTGGTAATTTTTTTTCTTGAACCTATTTGATTACTTACTTATATGATAATAAAATAATTGTATTTATTCTTTCAATGGCCTTTTAAAAATTAATTAAAAAATACATACCTGGAATGATTTTTATGATCTTTTGTTAACTCAACCGAAATTATGAAACGCAATCTGTTCATGAAAAAAATAAGAAACAGAAGATTGCAACATAGAAAATAATGAGTAGGTAATCAACATGAACCTAATAAGAGTAAGAATATCAATTTTTCCAAAATCACAACAAAAAATTAGAAGAATGTAAACGTAAACAATGCTTGTTTTATTAAAATATTAAACTAACTCAAAATTATTTAAATTGTAAAATATAAAATTTATTGAAAATGTATTGCTTTTGTTATAAAGAATATCCACCTAAAACTTTTTCTTTTTTTTCATAAAAATAGTCACCCTAGTGTTGGCACTTACATATCATAATAATACTAGACGTTATATTATTAATTGTTAGTCGAATTTCCACAGTTGTATACGTACAATACAGTGTATATAATAACTGATGACCGATTGACTTTATAATATTATTATTGTCTGGTGAGGTATGTCTATGACCGCGGTCCAATATCTACGAATAAATTCAGGTGACTAGATGTGTGTGTTTAATATATTATTATTGAAAAATTAAAAATTCTAAATTGAGCATGGAAGTTTACCTGCCTATATACTTCAATTATTTAATTTGACCAGAACAGCACCCTTCTCAGCTATAGACGAACATAAATAAGTATACATTTCCAATTTGTATTCTTATGTTTTTAAAGATTGTATTAGTTTTAAAATTTGGTGTTTTTATTTTGCTTGTTAATATTATATCAGCACTAGTGTATACCACGAACTATTACGAGCACTTAGTATAAACTAGGAAATTCAAAATATTATATCAAGAAATATCTCATAGGTCTTTAAAAAATTGTTTTAGCACTGGTGTGTAAATATTTAATTCCAGCATTAACTAATTGAGTAGCATGCAAACAAAATTCCCCTAAAATAATAGTTATAAACTATAGTAAATCGCTTTTGCTCTACAAGAAACTAGTAGAAGTTTTGATGTTTTTGAAACGTCAACGTTATGAAATTGCTTTCTGGACTATAGGTACAGCTGTTATTATTATATAAACAAAATAACACTGAGGATGTATAAGAAATTTAATTTCCGAATTGTCAAGGAAACCAAAATTGTTTTTTCATTTGATTGCTGCAGTTATTGTAACTCGCATATTTCTTGCATATTTCTCTGTACAGTTTCACGCTAATAATTCACGTATTATGACATTGTTTAACTTATACATTTTTGTGTGCTTCATTTTTTGCTTTGGGCCATTAGATGGCGCTCCAATTGGAACCAGAGGTATGTATATACCTGCATTAAATAAAAATAATTTTTGGAAATAATTTAGGTTTACCAATTTCACACATTGATATTTTTACGAGACTTAAAATATCAATGGTGTAACATCATAATAGTTATTACGATTTAAAATAAAATAGTAAACTGTTCGGTATTCTAGTGGAAGACAACCAAGATGGCTTTTGGAACAAGCTGTCATCATCGGCTTCGAGCGACAATGTTTGGACGTTAGCAGCGCGACTGTTTCCTTCGTGTATAAGTCACTGGTTTTCGTCTTCTTCCCTAACGAACGAGCCGCAACCATCGCCTCTATTGCTTGAACATTGGTCTGATGGCCAAACTTCAATTCCAACAACAGAACGGCGACCGTCTTCGTCACATGGCAAAAAAGATACGTATGGGTCAGTCTTGAATTCGTCACAACCGTCGCCGACCGATAACAAGAAAATCGACTCGACGTCAACCAAATTAAATGGTTACAATGGAAAAAAAAGAATTCGGACTGAAGGCCAAACTTTAATTCCAACCATAGAACGGCGACCGTATTCGTTGCATGACAGAAAAGGTGTGCGTAGGGCAGTCTTGAATTCGTCACAACCGTCGGGGACCGATCACAAGAAAAGCGATTCGCATTTCTCCAAATTAAATGATTATAATGGAAAAAAGGGAAGTAAGTCTGAAGGCCAAACTTTAATTCCAACCACAGAACGGCCACCGTATTTCTCGCATGACAAAAAGGGCGCGTGTAGGGCAGTCTTGAATTCGTCACAACCGTCGCCGAACGATCACAAGAAAAGCGATTCTTATTTATCCAAATTAAATGATTACAATGGAAAAAAAGGAATTCGGTTTGATGGCCAAATTTTGATTCCAACAACAGAACGGCTACCATATTTGTCTCATGACAAAAAAGGTAAGCGTGGGGCAGTATTCGATTTGTCAGTACCTTCCCCGACCAATCATAAGAAAAGCGATTCACATTTAATCAAATTAAATGATTATAATGGAAGGAAAGGAATTCGGTCTGAAGACCAAACTTTAATTCCAACCACAGATCGACGACCGTATTTGTCGCATGACAAAAATGGTACGCTCGATACAGTTGAGGCGTTATCTGACGACAATAACAAAAATCAAACGTCATCCGATATCAGCTTTTGGTTTCGAGAATTTTCAACGTACGCGTGGTTGTTGGATAAAAAAAATCATGTCGGTTGTATCTTTTTACCTCAACCTGATATTTGGAAATTTATTAAGTCTGGTGGCAAAACTTCATTGTTACAAAATGAATGGCAACCGTATTTGTCACCTGAAAAAAATGTTACGCGTAGGGCAGTCTTGGATTCGTCACAGCGGTCGTCGACCGATCACAAAAATAGCACTTCGCTGTTGACCGGAGTAAATGATTACAATGAAGGAAATAGAATTCGGTCAGACGACCAAACTTTAATTCCAATAACAGGACTACGGCCGTATGTGTCACACAAAAGAATAAATACGGGATGGCCAAAGTCGTATACGTTATATCCGTCACCGATGGACCAAAAAAAAAAGTCACGAAACCAATATTCCCCACACTCCGAGTACGATGTTTCGGACGAGAGTTCAAATCACACTCACTGGATAATCAATAGGGAGTTATTCATTCAATACTACGATTAACGACGAAATAAGCTCTTTGCCGTCTTCCGGCTTAACAACACAAATAATATACCGGAAAGGTAACACATTATTTTCCAGAAAATTACGTGTCACCTTTCCGACATACTATTTGTGTTGTTACGAAATGTTTTTGTTCAATAAATTGTATTATGTTACTGTATTCATTGGTTTGTCCTTGATATCTAAACTTTTAGACATATCTTTTTATACGGTAATAGGGTTTAGCTGTTATAAATTATAAATTATAAATTATAATATTCTTACAACTATTGGATTATTATTCTAAAATAAAAAATTATAAAATACTCAGAATTATTGACAATTATCCCAATAATAATAGTATACACAAATATTTAGTATTATAGCATTTACAATAATTAAATAAGAAACATAATTATGGCACAAATTAATGATTATTGAGAACCTACCTATTACAGTGTTTTGATAATTACGTATAATTATAACAGACCAACTGTTGATTTAATGTTTATATCGATATTCATTTACAAAACTTAATTGTTGCACCCATGGAAACTTCATATAATAATATTTAAACAATAATTTTTAAATGCGTATCATAATAATAGTTGATAACAGTAGAAAAATTATTTTTGAAAATAACAACAATCAATAAAGGTACACAATATTATATAGGTACCAAGGCAGGTATTGCATTGCAGTATATTAAAATAGGAATAAAACAGTATATTTCAATAAACTCTCGTCAATCGATTTATATTTTTTGTAGGTGACTAAGTGTAAGTCATAAGAAAATCTAAAATGATAATTACGTGGTTATGTGTATTCTTTATGACATTCAACTTGTGCACAGTAAGTATTCATAAATTCAATCTAATTTTTGTTGAATAGGGGCATTTGTGATAGAATTTCATTCAAAAGGAAAACGAGTATTACGTAATTGTACCAAATACCAATAATGTATTAGTGTATTATTATAGTGTTGCAAAAAAACTGTTTATTGTAAATTAAAAATGATTTACTATTTTATAAGATAAATATTTGATAATGCACTGTAATTTTATGCATATTGTAAAATGAACAATATAAAATACAAACTCTAATATTTGGTGTAAAATACTGAGTTAAAAGCATTTAAGATTGCATATGAAATCTTTGAAATTGAGTACCTATCTTAAGAAGTCTTAACTCCGGTACTTCTTGTTCCTGATGGAATGATTTTTTAATATACCTACGTCCTACACATAATATGGTGCAGATACACCAAGCATGCTCACTTCCATTTTTTTCATTTAAAAATGAACTAATTTTGGATTTTTTAAATTTAGGTATTTTTAAAGATCTTGCATTTTTTTGGTGTACTTAATTTAAACTTCCCATTAGTCGTTTTTCAGGTTTAAAACGATAATTTTTTGTTGTTAATATTACTCTAATATGTAATAACAACTAATGAGAGACCTTGTATTACATTTTTAAGTTTTTTGACGAAGCAGAAATGTATTAACAATAATTAAATGAAAACTAAGTAGGTACCTACATCAAAAATTTCTTATGCCCATGAATAGGTGAAAAGTTAAAATATTTAAAACATTTTTTCACATTTGCGAAATGGTCATATAAGTATTTTATGAATATTCAAACTATCTACGGTTGCTTTTTCTAGTTACTGCAAACAATCAAATCGATTTTGTCGAAACTGTTTTCGCTCGTTTTTGTTTTTTTTTTTTTTGATACTTTTGAAAACTGCTGGTAATTTTTACTTTTGATTACCCTCTCACCTCTTTCTTCCTAAGTACCAACTAAATTCACTTTCTCACCGGAAAACATGCTAAAGTAGAAAGTCAAAGCATTTTTATTGTCCCGAAAGGTTAATATATAAAATACACATGATTTTTTTTCATTGAGTATATAAATATTTAAGTTTTTGTTTTGTTGTGTATTATATTTTGTATTGAAAATTATTCCTAAACATATTATACATTAAGTAACTATACAAAGTATTTTTTTTTCGAAATTACTTTTTGAAACCCTCTTAAAGTTATGATGAATTTTTCAATCTTAAATATTATCTTACCTGCCTTAAATTGTTTAAGCTATGATTTTAATGTTTTTAAGATTACAAAATATAAATGGTGGTCAGCACAACTAAACAATTTGTGAACCTCTGGTCCAAACGTAATTTACTGACTAATTTTGTAGACATCTATGATCTAATCTANTCTTAAAGTTATGATGAATTTTTCAATCTTAAATATTATCTTACCTGCCTTAAATTGTTTAAGCTATGATTTTAATGTTTTTAAGATTACAAAATAAATATATAATTAATTTAAATTATGGCTGTAATATTAAATTACCTTTGTAGAATGTCATTTAAAAAAATAAAGTACTACCATATTATCACATTTGTTATCAGATGGTTAAGATAATATATTTTATTATTAATATAGTATGTAAAATGTACTATCGTATAGTGTTTGTTTTTTAGGTATATAGTGAAGAAACTATTAAAGCTTCAAAAGTAAAAATAATAAGATCAATCAAAAATTCGGTTGCATTTCATACCAAGCGCTTCATCGCCTTCATGAGACGTTGCCCAAGCTATTTGAGAAGATTCTTGATTTGGCTTAAGAAATACGCAAAACATGGTATAAAATGTACTGCTCATGGATTGACTCACATGAAATGTACAACCATGGATGGATTAAATAAAGTAATTAGCAATAAAGCTTTTAAACGAATACCAAGTTTTATACGGAAACGTTGGACTAAAACTACCCTTACTTCAAAATTGTGTTTCAAAGATTAGGTAGATATCTAATAATACCCTTAATTATATTATAAAAATATGTAAATTGTTAAATATTCGTAAATATTTTTACGAATTTCTTAAAAATATGTTCTTATTTATTTTATGATACCACACTAATTATCGTTTACTAAAAAGAATATTGATTTTTTTTAATAAATCCTTAATATTTTTTATGGTACTTGCAATATAATAACATATAATAATATGATATAATATGTATTTAAATAATACATTTTATTTATTTGTACTCGTGTAGTCTTCTGTTTTTTCGTTTTATATTAATAATTATCCCATTTATAAGCTGGTGTGATGTATTATCATTATTATGAGTTTTTAAAAGACAAATGTGTAATTTGAATATTTTTTCTGTAATAAAGAATTATAATTATTATATTATATTTTATTATTTTATGACATCAGAGAGTCAAAATATTTTGTATTCATTTTCTGTGATTCACACAAACGATAACACCTGCCGGTGTGGTGAATGCACTATAATAATACGACGATTAACACAGCACAGGAGGATTTGATCAGACCCAAGGTTTTCAATGATCTCTTGACGAATCCCCCCCAAAACGTTGAAAAGGCATGATCTCAAGAGTTCCTAGTTGCACAAATGATATAAATCTATGCCTAATTTGGCATTTCATACTCAATCAGCCGGAGAGGCCAACATGATCGGGTTTCTGCTCGTCAAATCAGCAAAGTTTCAAGTTAGACGGATTCGCGTCAGACAAATCGTCTGTCGTAGCATCATTTCCACCGGACACTTCAGAAGTTGCTTTTGCGCCACACCGCTTGTGTTCAAGCTGTACGCAGAGTGCGAAACGCTCCAGTTTGCTTAAATTTGCCTGACCATGTGGTCCCGACGACTTTGCGAGTTTGTTTCGTAAACTCGATTCGGAACCGACCGGGTTGTATCGCGGTTACGATGAGAAGTCACTGAAGCCAATTTGTGGTCAAAGAGGATATGTTTAAGTGAAAAATTACTTACAAGGATTTCCTACGTAGATGTATATAAATAAATGTTTTTGTTATGTATTTTTTTTTGGTTTTTATTTTCCATTATTATTATGAAACTTGTCAACACGCTGGTGTAAAATTAATTTATGCGGCTTGTGGAAATTGTGCTTACATTGTACGAGAATATTCTTCTTTTTTTTTAACCGGTATATAAATCTTCAACTTTCTTGTGTACAGACAAAAAACAAAGCGAAAAAAAACACACATATCATTTTTAAGATCAATAAAAAAAAAATCGCATCGCTCAGAATCTAAAAAAGTTACTAAATCCGACTATTTTCTAGAACAGTGTTATTCAACATTTTTGGACTTGTGACCCTTTTTTAAGCTCACATTTTTCGCGACCCACGTAAGCTTTGTAGAAAAACAAAAAAAGCTAAAATTGCTTAATGCTTCGTTGTAGTACCTATACTATTATAAGTGCCCTCTAAATATCAAATACTTTTTCACGACAACCAATTTCTTTTCATACCTGTCTTTAACCATCACTCTAGCCTCCAAGATCATGTCATGTACTCATGTGTATTTACCAGTGGTAAATTTGATGCCGATACAATTTTAAAATGACCAATATTGACATCAAACCATATTAAACATGGTTAAACGTAGCCTTATCAAACGTATAGTGTTACGTATATTTTTCACCACTTCCCTCTCCTCTTGTTAACACAAAACCACATGTTGGACATACATTCTGCTCAAAATAATAATAATAAGGTATGTACTTCAGAGCATATTCTTGTCGCAGTCTTCACGGAGACTTCAGTTTTTGGTTGTCTTTGTCCGGTAAAAATTGGTGTTGTGTGTTGGAGGTGATGATATAACACAGACACCATGTACACAAATGACAAATTGAATGTACAATAGATTATACCATTTACGATTTTATTTAAACGAAATTCTAATACTAATTACATTAGATGGTCGTCGGACCTGGTTATTCTCCTAGAACGTCATCAAGGCAATTCATGGCCATGCAACCGATCAGCCTGTGATCGGATGAGGTAGGAAGGGTTGACAGAAACGTGCTGTTTGTGTCTCGAAGTGGTGGTTGATAAGAACGACGGTCGTGGGATCGTGATATGCAGCAGTGTTCTTAGCACTTGCATTGCTGTGGACCGCATCGTTATTTCCTTTCCATAAACCACAACAATACAAACAGTCATACTATAATTAAGTTATTATTACTCTTTTTGCTATTTATATTAACTGTCCAACTGTAGTAGGTAAGCTGTTTTTGTAGGTTGTTATTGGAGGAAGTGAACAATATTATAGTATTTAAAAAACTGCAAACGTAAGCTGGTGTTTTTAAACATACTTGATGACCATATTTTCGGATGAATTAGATTTTTTTGTACCATTGGTAATATGGTTAAATCGTATTGCAGAGACTTAATGGGTGGGAGTAAATTAAAAAAATATTTAAATATTGAACAATTTATGGCACAGTTGAACGCCTAACAGTTCGTTATTGTATTAAAAATAAAACTATTAATTACCTATAATATTTAATTTTATAAAAACTTAAATAATATGCACAGTCCTTACTTAGACAATACAAAATATAAAAAAAACTAGCTCATAACATTATAATGATAATAATGACGTACCTACCTCTCGAAATTCACGTAATACATATTTTTAATAATTGTGTATAATTATTATGGATCAACTGTTGTTAGAATGTTTTATAATGGTACCCATTTATTAAAATGAAATGTTTCACACTTGAACGTACAATGTGTATATTATGTACCCACCTAAATAAAATAACTAAATATTATTGCATAATATGACATTTAAATAACCTAATATTAAAGTACTTAAACAGTAGCCAGGTACGTCGCTAAACTTTTTACTTCTCTTTGATATTTTATGAATTTTGACAACCAAGTGTAATTCCTAACTCATAAGTAAACCTAAAATGAGTGTCACGTGGATTTGTTTATTAATGATAATGATAGCATCATTCAATGTGTATCAAGTAAGTTTTTGTGAAACAGGTAGTTTTACACTTAAAATTTGACAATGGTCGCCCAAATATGAATTAAGATAACTATAATATATTACGTAATATTGTCTTATAAATTAATAGGTATTCAATAATCATGCTTTAATGTTTAATAGATACCTGTAATACCTATTTTATACCTATATATTATAGTTACACACATGCGTAGTGTGATATTGTTCATTACATTTTTCATGGATCTAAATTTTAATTCATATAATCGAAGTTAGGATAATTTTTTTTCTTAAAAATTAATTTTTAATATATTCATATAAATCATCGTGATATTGGTTGATGGACATCATTAATTTTTTATAATCTTAATATTTAAATTAAATACACCTAAGTACCACTTTTAAAAACGTTTTATTAGACTTATACTCCATAATAGTTACCTACTAAAAGGTAATTAAATTAGACCTATATTGGTTTGAAACTATCTTATAAACGATGTCTATAAAATTATATGGACATTGTTATAGTGTCACTGTTACTATAAGAAATTTAACTATTTTATTATTAATAACTTATGAAATTTGGTAATAATATGCAATGAATGATTTTCAAGGTCCACAACACAGAAATTAACTCAAAAAGAGGAATCATAATTAAAACAACAAAACGAATTAAAGATTCATTGTTTACTCAGGGGAAACTCTTTAAGAATGCCATAAAAAATCTTCCAACAAATTTAAGAAGATTCATGAGGTGGTTAAAGAAAAACGCACGAAAAGGTATACAATGCTTTCGTTCAAAATCTGATTTCATAAGATGTCAAACTAATGGAAAATTACATTTCCAAATGAAGATGGCAACTTGGAACCTACTTCCGAAATGTATAAAAAGTAGGTGGTTTAAAACTGATGTCAGTACCAAAGTAGTGACCTAGCGTAGTCATTAAAATGAATCAATTATAAAAATAAATAAACTATAAAATATATATTCTTTCTCGTCTATTTACTTATATTGTGTATATTTATTTTCTATCTTTTAGCTATAGTTGGGATCATAATATGTTACCACGTTCATTTTTCTGGTTTATACCTATATATGTTAAGGGTAATGTAGAAAACCGGGCATTTTATAAAATGTTCGAGCGATGTGTATAATGTTCAATGTAGAAATTGTCACACTTTTTCTGGACATTCTATACAACGACCTAAATCAGGCAGGGAATATGAAACATGCAATATTTTGAGTTTTATTAAAAGTTAGAAAAATGTATTATGCCCAATAATACATAAGCCACTATATAAAATACTAATCGTATTAGTAAAAGCATAAGGTACATTATACGAGTGGGTGGTTAGAGATCATCGCCTATGTATTACTATATTATGTTGGTGAATAAGCGATACGGAAACGGGTGGCAGATTGTGATTAACAGTTCCCATCCGTTCCCGGTAAAAAAAGGTACACTATACAAGTACATGATGAAACGGCCTACACATATTATATAAAATAGTGGTTTCCAACCCATAGGCCGAGCCCACTTGTAGATCTCGGACAATGTGGTATTGACCACTGAGCCGCAGATGCTGGTCGAGGGTCTAAACTAAGGGTCAGCAAATTTTAATTGGCATACAAATCGAGATTTTTGTATGATTGTATACACTTCTATACAATTATTCCGTTGTCTTATTTGTGTGTGTTTATATTTTATGCCTGTGTAATGTATATTGGGTAAGTCGTAAGTGGGCCTAAAGGTTTTTTTTTTTTATATAAATGGTGGTCAGCACAACTAAACAATTTGTGAACCTCTGGTCCAAACGTAATTTACTGACTAATTTTGTAGACATCTATGATCTAATCTAACGAAAGTTTGAAAATAATCTAGTGAATTCACAATATTTATTGCCTGCCTCGATAGATGATAGTGAACCAAAAGCGTGACAATAATTTGTTGTTGTAGAGTAAATTCCATAGACTTTATACTATTAGACAAGCACTGTGTGTAACAATAGCATTACGAGCAGTGTAACAACATCTCACAGTGATGCAGGCTGTCTTTACGAAAAAAAAAAAATACAGCGATGGATAGCCTGTAATACACAATAATCTAAATATCGATACATCTTACCCTACTTCCCCATCACTACCGTGCGTACGAGTAATCGAGTGATCAAAAAGCGCCCTCTATGTTTTTACGCTTTCCATAGTACATTCATTGCTTGTCTAGTAGTTTAAGGTCTATGGAGAATTCGCAATCTATATTATCCTGATAAATCGGTCAGGAAATTATATTGGTAATTTCAGTTGCGTATTGATTGCAGTAAACATTAAATATTATTGGAATATTTTTTTTAAGTTGTTATTGCCCGCGATAAATTGATCACTCTGTACAATGCCCGAAAATTCTATTAAACTAGGATACAAAATATAAGAATATAAAATCCTTGAGCAACGATTTAAAATTTCCGGAACATGTGATAAATTTCAAACTTGAAAATTGATGGTTTTTCAAACTGGTTAATTTTTGATTCTTCGAGTAGTTTCTGATAGGTACATATACAATTTTTTTTTAATACATTTGAACATTTAACGAATAAATAGTGAGCTAATGATTCCTTAAACATGATTTAGTGGCCCACGGGCCACGATTGATCCATTAAATTGTATTGGACCGTTAAATTAATACTTTGTTCGTGCAACCTGGCATAACTGCATACGTATGTAAATTTGAACAAAAATAAAGATAATAAAACAATATTATCTGAATAAGAATACGACTGTTTCAATATCTACGTAGGTACCTATCTCATAATCATTATACCTCATTGATGTCGCGTTTTTGAAAAGTATATTGACGCGTATTTGTCATTAAACCAAAGTATCACACTCATGTTGATATATCCATCACTGATCACTCATACAGTCATACACCATTTTTAAATACAATTGTTCATCCCTTTCACAACTAAATATGACAGGCATATGTTCTCTTTATATTGTTGATTGAGGTCTTTATAAACCATTCAAAATGCCGTACCAGGTTTGCATTGTTGCACAATTGTTTAGTAAAATATTTTTGTTTGATTACTTGTCATTGTTTTAATAAATGTAATTAGGAAAAATGCATGACATTTATAATGAATTATGCTCAATGTTCATAACAGGTGATTGTCGTTTTAGGTTTACTCGAAGTAAACCGCATTATACATTTATTTTATTGAATCGGATTTAATAATTTTACAACACATTTAAAATTTATTTGATATCTTTTGCTTTGGTAGAAATGGACTCAGATACGACAAGGACCGTTTAGAAAGATAAAATATTCTGATTTATTTACAATGGTCGAGGCGTTGGAAGGGGAGTTTGGCGATTGAGGTAGAGAATGTTTGCTGACTTCCGATTTCGATTGCGGTTTTTTTATTTTTGTTTATATTGTTAATGACTTTATTGTTAATTATTTTGATAGAAGGCACGGTGCATATAGTCTTAGAGGTATCGTTAGTTGACGTTATTTGTTATCTGGGTCTCAAGGTCGCCGTATACTGCATAGGGTGGTAGTGTCTTGGTTATTAAGGTACGGCAATCACTTGATTACGAAGCACGACGGTCTTCATTACGCACAGTACTTAAATATAATTAGAAAGGTAGATAGGTAGATTTCACATTAGAATATCAATTCTTACTATACATTTTGTTAATACGTAGGTACCCTTGAGTTTTCTGGTAGTCAATTCCGTATAACTGTTATCTACGGGTTTAATTTGATATTATAAGCGGTAACCGAATACTGATCAAAGAATTTTTTATCTCATAAAAACATTTGTACACAAACTAAGCTTAAGCTGTGATATCATATTATTATTTTTGAAGGAAAATTTTTTTATTTCAGTTAAATATGGAAATATTTATTATTTTTACATTACTTTTCGGTTTTGTATTTGGAGCCGATGAAGTCTTACAATTAGACCAAGGAAAATTGGCTGGTAGTAGCTTGAAGTCACGAAATGGACGAGAATTCAAAGCGTTTCAGGGAATACCCTATGCCAAATCGCCTACTGGAGATCTTAGGTTCAAGGTAAATCATAATTTTTTTTGCAAAGCTGGTCAGTTTAACTAATATTTTTGAACTCCGTAAATTAAGTTGATATAGTACAATTGAAGTTGAGTTTAAAGTCAAAAGTTATTTTTATTTTTTAACTTTACAGTAACAAGTAAATTCATTAGAAGAAAAAATAACAAAACTTAGTTAAACATCAGTTAGGTACTCACGATAATACAATTTATAGTTGTTGCTTATCAAGTACATATATTATTACATTTTTTTAAAATATAATACTTAATATTTGCATTTAAGAGGTCGTCAAGCCACATGTGTTAGGAAAAACTGTTTTTTTTCGAAATAGAACCACTAAAGCTGTAGTCCAAGCTAAGCAACCAAATTGTTACACCATAAACAAGTGAACATTTACTGTGCAACACGGTTTTTTATTTTTCGATATCACAAATACAAAAAACGTTCTTATTGTTTAAAAATTAATCATTTCGAACTTGAATAACTTTTTTTACATTTGTGATATCGAAAAAATAAAAGCCGATGTTGTACATTAAATGTTCTCCTCTTAATAGTATGAACATTTGGTTGCTTAGCTTGGACTACAGCTTGCGTTGTTCTATTTCGACAACATATGCAGGTGTGGCGTCTTCTTAACAAAATATATTTTATTAGTGTAAGTCTATGTTAACAAATTAGCTCTATGGAACAATAAAAATAATTAACTCTGAAGTTTCTGCATAACATGGAAAACAATTTAACCCGTTAAGTTGGAAGTTTCTTGTGATGACAAAAAGTAACGATGTAAGTAATATTTCTATAACTTTTCCACTTAACATTTAACTAAAGAGTGGTGTTAAATATACTTCCTACTATGGTTTTAAATTACACTTTTTTTTACTTTTTATCAAAATTAAATATCTCATTAAATATTTCAAAAAAATTAATTTAATGACATTTTAGAACCCTATTTATTATTGACGGATAACCAATAAATGAATCAACTATAATAATCAAACTAGTACCACACACTCAAAAAAAAAAAAAAAACGTGTTGGCCAGGCTATCGATTCAGACGGGAAACAAAAAGAAAGTGAGAGGACAAAAAGGAACGCCGGCTAATGCAATTACGAAAGGTGTATAGTGGAGCGCTTGCAATCGCAACAATATGTTAATGTTAATTCAAAATTCACTAATAAAATCATACGGCCGAACGGAAAATTATTACAACTGGGTTTACTCTCTTGTGCGTTATTTTTATTATAATATGTATATAAATTATAAACTTAGTATAGTTTGAGAATTATCACGTTACAGAATATTATTAAAACAAATATTAGATTTTTTATCTAAATAATTGTTGATTAAATGTTAATATTTTGCATTTGTTAATGTCAAGCCTTGCTTGTATGATATAGATAAAGTGTATTTATACTTCAAGTATTGTAATGAGTAGTAGAAGACGGTGTCTCGAAGGATAATAATACATCCAAACTACTTGCACTAATGATTGTTAAAAACTTGACACTTGTATAACTAATTGCCTACTCTAAAACTCCTTGAGATATGCATAAATGCAATTATAATTATTGTTATTAGGATCCCGTACCAGCAGATCCGTGGATAGGAATTTTTAATGCTACTACTGAGCCACAACCGTGTATTCAGAAGAATTTGTTTTATTATCAACGAGCGGATATTCTTGTCGGTTCTGAGGACTGTCTGTATCTCAATGTATACACAAAAAAAGTAATCAATTAGTGGAAAATATATTAATTTTTTTATTGAACATTAAAAAATGTTGTTAAATATTATTTTATGATGTTTATAGATACCAAAAACAGATGATCCAGAATTACTTCCAGTTATGATTCGGATTCCCGGCGGAGGGTATTTCGCAGGTTCAGGCGGTTTAAGTTCAAATGGTCCTCATTATTTG